AATTTCGAGTTCGTTAGTGCGTTCTAAAGTGCCTTTATAAACCGTCTTCACACTGACTATAATATAATTATTGGAAACCGCTTGGCCGGTGATGAGCGGACAGATCCCACTGATCGCACTCTCCTACAGTATGTGGGACTCTGTGCTCTACAAATCCAGATGCTTTCTATGCTTTTCTTTCCTATGCCCAGTAGGCTTATAATACAAAAGTAAACTCGTGTACCCCTTGTTTCCCACATCCCTGGTCTACACTGAGGATCTCTTCTCCGAGTTAGTCTCAGACCTGGTAGTCCGAGGTCAACAGCCACCGTTACTAGCGGAGGGCCTTAGAAAGGCCCTATATAGTTCACTCGAAAGTTTGCCAAAGCTCTGGAGAGATAAGCTAAAAACTATGAAAAGCGGCGGAGATCTGTATGGTCCAAGCATCCAGACTTAGTTCACGTGGACTGCCAGGCTTGGAGAGGTGCAACAGGTGGTCACACGAGGAGATTGGGACTAGGTGGCAAGGAACACTTGCCCTCCTCTCACGCCATTACCCTTTCCTATTCCCTCAAATTCCCTAAAAAGTTAACGGGGCTACAGAATTACTAATATTGATTTCCTAAGGAACTTTAGAACTCTTCGATTGATCCTTGGGTTCTGCTGTGCGGGCAGGCGACCCGTAAGGGGGGTGTCACGTGTATAGGGAGCCGTAGAAGTGCTAGAATTAAGGGCTTTTGTGCACCAAAGACACAGGAGAAGGGGCTTTACAACGATACGCGGTGGGCACTGCCAGCCTGGGCGGTCGACAGAAGAGATTGCGGGGCGAGTTGCCTGCGAGATAGTTTGCGGCCGTGTTCGATTTACAGCGCTAGTCGCAGATGATCCTACTAAAGGCCGCTAATAACTGTCCTTCGCCATCATACGCTCTGCCTGAAATACTTCACACCTCTGAGTATTGCCTAAGACGTTTTTGGTTGCTAATGTAAAGGCGTGCACTAGACTCAATAAATGTGCCGGCACTCTTAGACATGTTCACAGTAAACTTGTGCCCCTTGTGGGGCCAGACAATCAAGTGTGCTGCAGGGCCGGCTGTCTTATGCACATTGCACGAGGTTGCGATAATTTTTCTTTGAAGCCTACTTGATTTCCTTTTTACAGTTATTCGCTGTTGTTTTCTTATTGCAGGAGGCTCATCTTTTTCAGCATTTCCGAATATAGCGAGCCATTGCGTCGCCGCAGTCTAGTTGGGTCTACGTCCCTCGTTCGTTGCTACCTAGCGCGTCTCTTTCTTTCCCTCGATTTCTCTTTGTAGATTGTTCGTCAGTTTGCCTCTCTAGCTCGCACTGTTCTTCTAGTCCCTTCATATCCGAGGAGTAGTGGTAATGCAGAATTTCTTCTGGTGTCCTGCACACAGCTGGACTCGATGGACCGGCACGGAACACAAGGATGTGTGATTGGAATGTTTGGGGACGGGTTAATGTAGCAAGCTTAGCCACACTCAGCGACCTTCTACTACAGTATGTATGATCATTTAAGAATTGGTGGAGCGGCTGTCCGTATATCGTTCTATCTGCCGAGTAGCGTTCCCTCGGTATCCTAAGCATCAATTTTGTATGCATGGCCGTTTGGTGCTGCGTAAAACTACCTGTGAATGTTAGGTATTGCTTGGAGAGTTCAGGTACACGCAGCCTAACTGTCTCGCTACCCCCTTATCGGAATCCTGACGGGCGGGGCATAAAAAGGAGGTAATGCGTGTGCCTCGACACTCAATAACATTTTACTTAGTTTTTATTGACTCTGTAACTAAGCGTCGCCCTACGAAGACCTTAGATGGGGCTTTCACAGCTGTTTAAGAACTAGCCCTTGAAGTAGGAAAAATGTTTATCCGACGTCTTTTAGGGTGGGCAGGTCGTGCATCCCAGTGGCTGCACTCCGAGCAGTTGCAGGTACCCCATGCTCCTGTATGAAGTACTCATAATTAGAACATTGACTGCCAAGCCTGTGTACTTGCATGCATAATGAAACACGGTAATCCACAGGTGTATTGTTGCCTAATGACGTGTTTCCCCTGAATTATGGCTTACCAAGAGCTCACTGTACAGATCCGATGCTGTCTACATTGTATCCTCTGCGAAGCGCTACAGAAGCTCTCTACTTTAAGCAAATGCTAAATTCATGTGAGCGCTTACTCGTATTGTAAACGAGGATGTAAACCCGGCTAAGCGCTGAGCTATTTGAATCGTGGTTGACCTTCTTCGCCTTACACCCCCACCACATTTCCTCAGCACTAAAGGGAGTACCCCGATCCGGAGAAGTTGGAAAGATATGCCGTTAGCACTTTTTGAAGTTCATCACAGCTTTGATCCTCCATAGTTTTCATAGGCACACATGATAACTAGTAGTACGAATGCCGTCAGCTCATCAGTGTGTACTGTATCCATAGTGAGCCGAAAATGTTGGTAGCATTCCGGTAGCAGGCGTGTTTCACGGCGTATATAATTGCACACTGCGCCTTGCTTTTGGCTTTCCTGATATCTTCGCTCTCTCGCACACGGCTGCTAATTATAACCCACTACTTACACGCCACAAGCTCTTCAAACCCTATGCCACAGGGCCTGCGTGGAAAGGTGCATACGTACACCAGGACAATTTGGTCGCATGCATACTCTCGTATTACCACCTGCATGCGCGCTTAAAATCGTTTAACGCCAATGGGGATCAGCCCGTGGTTTTTGTTTGTTGTCAAGCAGCACCCTTTCTGAGTTTAAATTTTAGAAATACCGATATCCCTCAAGTGTTTTGTTCAACGTCTGGACGGTTGCGCCCCTGCAGAGTCTGCTGCTCCATTAGACTTTTAGATAAGGCAAGCACTGCTCCCGATACGTTGCAGGTGCCCCAGGTCCGCGATCCAAACCCAACATTATTACAAAAACAAGGCACGATTTTCATCAAGATAAGGTAGCAGTACATCCAACGGTACAAGATTTCAGCATTCACAAATTTAGAAAATTTGTTTGTTTGAGTTCCTGAGCTTATTTAGGCACCTTGTTAATTATTTCTGCACCGTGATTCTCTAACCAGCACCAGCGGATCTTGTGCGCACATCTGGCGGATCATACACTCTCTAGTTAAAGCCGGAAATCGAGAATTTGGGGTGGTGCTGCAGAATATATAAAGGATATTCCCCAAGGTGCCAATCACTGTCCCACTTGGCGTAGCAGCTCCTATGACGCAAACCTCAGCTTAATGAACATCTCTCAGCTGACGTTCAGTCAAGGCATTGGTCAGCACTTTACTAAATTTCTGGTGATGCTCATGGAGCCCTGCACCCCTAGTCGAAACCCTAAAGCATGCGACATGTGTATACCATTCCAAACACAGCGTTTGCTTCGCGTGTTGAAAGATGGCCTTGTGAGTTTCAGAACATAGTAGGAATTCTCCCGCGTGCCAGTGCCCGCGTCTAGTTATACGGCCATACGCTTCAGGTCTGCAAATATAAGAATAATGACTAAGTTTTTACGCTTTAGGACTTTCAGACTGCCACAAGCGATCGGCATCAAATGATGCACACTGGAATTAATGCCATCTTCCCTAATGGCTGTACATTGTAGCTATAGAACAAGATGTCGCGGCAACGGCGGTAAATGTAAAAATCTTTTAGAATAACAGATTGCAGAAAAAGTCTTACACTGGATATCCGAAGGGGCCCACCTCCATGGCTTTCATCTACATCATCCTCGTGCCTAGTCCTCTTCAAACCTACTCTAAGGACAGTAGTTCAAATCAATGAAAGCCTCTCCAGAGGCACAGAGACTTCCTGTGGAGGCAGGTGGTCCCTGGAATCCGTTAACGCCTTCTGTACTCCTATGAGAGTCTCCCAGAGGATCCCCGTGCAACGCACCCTTAGGGGAAGACGCGTAGAGATATGATGCAGATGCGACGGATTACACAGAATGAGCCCTTTGCCATGAAAGCTCTTGCTTAAATAGCTGCGCGTGAACACTCTCCTGCTGCAGCTTGTAACTCCCAACTCGCTCTCGCTGCTGATCCTATGGCAGCTGTACATGCTGCTGCTCGTGCTAGAGTTGGTTGAAAGGCTGTCTCTTCGTGAAGCCACTGTGCTTATTGCATTTTCCAGGAGAACACTGGGCGCCCCCCGCCAAATGAGATGCAAGTATCGAGCTTGGATTGCTTCCCCTTAAATGTAAATGCAGCCATCCGCTTGATATCAGGAGTCTACCCAAACCATAGATTAAGCGCAGCACGTGTTGAGCAAAGGGATCCAACGCAAGCTCACTATTCTACGAACACTTCTTATGTAGGAGGAATCTGAAAAAGTTTGCTGTTGGGGGATAGTACGCTAGAAGCACCCGACCTTCCGCCTCCTGAGACAGGTAGTTGAGACTTCTTTTAGACATCTCAGTCACGAAATAAGACACAAATGAGGGCCCAGCAAGTCTTCTGCACGCTGCAGCGAATTTTGCTCCTAAATATGCTCGCGCTGGTGTCATATGTGTAATTGCTTCTCGTACTCCACCTCTTATAAGTGCAGCATAGAAACGCTTGGTTCGGCAAGGTCTAGCTACTGAGTGGCGAGTAAAGGAGTGTACGCACCGGTGGCATCATCGCTAGCGTGCAAGTAGGATTGTTCCAAAGCGCGGGGCTATCAATTCTAATTTTAGCAGCAAAGATGTCAGAAGATGCTGCAAAAGTGTTACCAATTCAGGAAACGTTTGCAATACTTAATAGCACGCAGCAACTACGCCCACACAATCCTAAAGAGAAGAGTTTTTTTAAAAATGTAACAATGGGACCTTTGCCATCAAAAGAAGATCCGCATAAGAAAGAGAATCTAGCGACTTCACCCTAGCAGCAAGTGCTGCAGGAGTGATTATTCCCGTTGCGTAGATTCATCTGCTGTAACAGATGCACCCACACAACTGCCGTCGCTACACGTGTGGTATTGCAGCTCCTGATAATGCTGCAGCAGGAGCTGCCTCTCCTGCAGAAGGTGTGCCTCACGTGCTGGTGCACGCCGTAGAGGGCGCTGACCTGTCCCTATGGACGAAGGCTTCCATCTGTTGTGGTGTATGCCCACCAACGGCGTGTCGATCCAAATGAGTAGGGTTGTTGTAAGGTTGCCGCAGTGCCCCTGCGTCTCTTTCGAGGGCTCTCTCGACTTCATCCTCATTTTCCTGCCCCTCTAATACCAGGAAGGGGCCCAGTGTGGCCTCAAGAAGGCCGTGTATGAGGAAGAAAAGGCAGACAGCTGCTGTAGCAATAAGAGGTCCCTTTGGAAGAAGGCACGCGAAGAGTGCGTTGATGCTCAAAATCACCACGGCGTCAACAACCGTAACGAAGACCCCGACAAACCCAAAGACCTTGCATGCAAGCTGCTGAGAAGACACAAGACCTTGCAGCAGTGCAGCAAATCCCATTTTAGGGGCCGCGCTGCATGCGAAGAAGAGAAAGGAGGAGACGAATATCATCAGAATGCAGCACCATCGAAGGACGCCCATTTCGTGTAGCAACAGGGCGCCTGGTATCAACAGCAAGGCTGCTACAGAAGCAAAAACACTCCAAAATAGAGCCTTATACCGGCTACGGCGTGTGGGGGCTTCCGGAGTCCTCCAGAAGGGACCCATAACGGCCCCTGTCAGGCACCCCCCCGCTTTTCCAGCCGCGATAAGAGCTGCAGCCCATGCATTTGCGGTGAGTGCATCGCCGGGTGTGGCGGCAAAGAGCTGGGGTGTATAGAGAGAGAGGAGAGGCAGTACAACTGAGACAACAGCGTCCTCTAGAGCTGTTTCCATGGCCAAAAACAGCACGCGCCACGCTAGCGGCCTATTACTAAGAACCGCGGAACAGCCTTCTTTGATCTCTGCAATGCGCAACACCGTCTCCCTACACAAGGAAGGGGCTTCACTTTCCCCAGAACATTCGGTAAAGGAGTCCTCACTACAAAGACTGCCTCCAGGAGCTCCTTCCCACTCGGTGCCCCCATGTCTTGAAGCGTTGATCCCCTCTTGCGGCAAAGATCCAGCCGCATTTCCCCGACCAAAGGAAATGCCACGTCGAGAGGGCCTTCCGCAGATATAGAAACACAGAGAGAGGCAGGAGAGGGCCCCAAAGACAACTGCCTGGCTCCCAATGAGGCCCACGCGCTGGTGGAGTCCTTTATGCATGCTGAGCAGGTCTGCAAGGGGAGCCGGGAGGGGACAAAGCGGCACAAGGGCGACCATCAGCAGTGCCACCGGAGGTGTAAAGAGGATAAACGACACATCAAACGTGATGCGATGAAGCTTGTTGAATCTCTCTCTAAGGCTCTCCCAAATAGGGATCCCAGTCTGTGCCGCAAGCGAATCGAGACCCCCACAATCCATATCCACAACATTTGCGAACGCCACATGAGCTCCGTCTAAGAAAACGAGAGTTCCTGCAACCCCCCAAAACACCAGTGGCCTGTCGAGATACACGAATAGCCACAGCCAAGCGGCCGGTACGGCTACACTCCAAATGAACCAGCGAGAAGCCGTTGTTACGAGCAGTAAACGCCACATCGAGATCCTCTCCGCTGCAGCTGAGGCTAAGGGTGAGAGTAACACGAGAGCCATGTTGAAGGCCCCCCGAAGCACTCCGACACCCAGGGGATTCCCCAATAGAGATACCGACAGGACCCCAAAAGAAGACCACCACAAAGCCGCTTTCGTCACATTTACCAGCTGCCCACACAAGTATCCCCTCCACAAGCCTTCGGCGGAAGCAGCCAACGCCTCTTCGGGGGAGGCCCCCCCAGCAAACAATGCCTGTGTTGTGGGCGAAAATAGGGCAGCTGATGTGGTACTGCTGCTGCTGCTGTCGGTGTTATTGGAGGGTGCCTCCGCACAGGAGGCCGCTGGATCGAGCAGCAAGCCATCCTTAACCCCGTGGGACGTCCGAGGGGGATCCATGCTTAACAGTAACCTAAGGGGGCCAGCCGGCTGCTGGTACTACTATAGTGCGCAGCTCACAAAACAAATAAACTGATAAGACCTCCGTAGAAGCAGGCAGAGAGGTCGTCAAGAGCGTTACTTGAGGAGAAGCAAGCCGGTACGCGCACATAAGATGAACATCGTTCACTGCTGTTGCTGCGGCTGCAGCAGCAGCTACGCCTGCTGCCTGTGTCGGCGCTAAAGCAGCATGCAGTGGTCCAAAATACCTCGGGTAGCCAGTGGTAGAGACAGCAGAGAGGGAGAGAAATTGGAATGGTGGGTGGAGTCAAGCAGCTGCTTCCTAGGGGCCCCCTGTCGCTTGCAGAGGCAGCCTGGAAAAGGTGATAAAGGAAGACCTTTCCCACTTCTTTCCTTTGATTTACTCATTACCGAAGTCAAACAAATAATCCTGAAGAAAATAACGGTGACTGCGACGCAAGCAGTCGTCGCTTCAGCAGATGGTGCCCTCCATGGCATGTCAGTCCACAAACAGAAGCTTGCAGTAAGAATGCGTGTTATGGAAGTGTAAAAGGACCTGCTCAAGTGATTTGAAGCTTTTTCCGTAAAGGCCCTTGTTTTGGTGCATAGTCAGCGTCATTAGAGGAAAACCCCTCCCCTTCGCCACGTGGGGGATTCTGCAACGAATCTTTGTTACAGTGGCATGCTTCATCAATTCTCTACTGTCAATCGTTTCTCTTCTATTTTGTCGTATTTTTAAAAGGCGTGGACAACCTAACTGGGCTGTCTTCCTGTGTCCTTATCTGCATGGTGTACTTGGCGGAAAACGCAACACCACTCTCCTGCGCGCGCTCTAGGGAGACACGCTCTGAATCATACCTCAACTTTTTGGAGCCGCATGAATCACAACATCAATTCTTCAGTTTTTAATCTTTTATACATCCGAAAGTTCGCGCTTACCTGTTTAGGGTCCTCACGTCGCTTTGGTTTGCCTCTTCGTCTACGAACGTAACCTAGGAGAAGGCTTTTTCCCCCTCTAGGTACTTGGCAAACGCGCTGACCTCTATCTTCAACGCTTAGTTGTGCTGGTTTAGGTGCCTTTTGTCTCCTCTTGACTTCGGCTGCAGCACTATCATCAGCACAAGCAGCCTTCCCGCGCAGCCGCTTATGACTCGGTCTTTTCTGGCGTGTAAGCTCTTGTCCTCTTCTCGTAGGCGGTAACCTCTCAATGGATCAGCTCACAGAAACTGGGGCGCCTGTGAAGCCCCCTAAGCGAGTCGCGGGGTCACAACCCCGCATTCATCCTTACCTTCTAATCTGCATATTGTGCCTCTACTGTCTCCTGGCGGGTCCAGTGTACTTCAACTGGACCCCGATAGCCGACTCCCTTTTTCAGAGCAATGCGTTCCTATGGAGGTGTACTCCGGATGAGCTGGCAGGCCCATCCCCAGCACACTCATATTCGCCACGGTGCGCTGCACAGGAGTTGGCGGTCAATTCCTTATTCATGGTGGCGTCTTCATCTCACTTTTTTTGTTCTTTCCTTGGGGGACTCTTCTTGGATCTTCTAGGGCCTTGTATCACGGGCATGGTTGGGACGGGAATAATGTTAATTGGCTGGGTTCTGCTGGCCACATCGTCGCAGGCCTTTAACGCTTACACGTTCGCAGCAGTTCTCATCGGGATGAGTGTAGATATGGCATTCTTTCCTTGCCTTTCCGCAGCCAACCTGTTCCCCAAGAATGGCAGTACAGTAATTGCCATCTTGGGATGTTTCAGATCTCTGTCCTTTGTTGTTCCCCTCGGAATTCGAGCAGCGGTTGTGCAGTATGGAGTGGGCAGCTCCATGCAAGCCCTCCTGGTGTATGCGGGACTCTTTTTGTCTCTCTGCTTCCTTGTGGCAGTTTTCTTGCTACCGTCGAAACCCTTCAGCACGCCACAAGAGCAGCAGGAGGAACAAATGCATCAGAAGCCACAGGCGCTCACGGACTCCTCTACATCCGATCACAGAGAGGGCAGTGACCGCACAGAATCTGCAGTGGATGGTGGAGCTGTACGGAACCGACAGAGCTTCATGGAACGCGCAAGCATGCGCCTATATTCCTTCCGTGCAGAATGTTGTTCCGCAGCCTATTTGCCACTCCTCCTGCTTTTTTCATTTTTGTTAACAAATATCATCTTCTTCGTTCCATCCGCATCCCATCTTCTTCCCGCAGCTTACGTGGCCAACCAAGTTATCCAGACCTTCTCGTTTTTGCCGTGCCCCTTCTTGGGGATGCTGGCAGATAAGGTTGGCATCCTGCCCGTGATGCATCTGACGAATCTGTGCGGGCTCCTTTGTTACGTGTGTACTGTCGTTCCGGGCATACCAGCAGCGACGGTGCTGCAGTATCTCGCTTCCATCTTGTTTGCCGTCCAGGTATCCTTTTTTATGAGCCAGTTGTACTGTTACGCATCAGTCACTTTCAGTCAGGAAAATCTGGGCAAGTTGGTTGGTTTGGTGTGCGCAACCGCTGGGCTGGTATCGCTAGTATCTGGTCCAATGAGGGCTTATGCCCTAGATAATGGATTTCTCCCCATGTGCCTCGTTGCCATCAGCCTTGCAACCTGCAATGTAGCCATTTTGGTGTTCTTACATGTCGTGCAGTACAGAAAACAGAAAAGGGAAAGATCAAACAAGACAAAGGTTGCTGCGGGAGACCTCGAAGCCGCTACACAGTAGCTGCTCTCAGGGGGGACCGCCCGCAAGTTGAACTTGTTTTCGGCAATGGCTGCTGCTCAGCCAGCAGCAGCCATTGCCAAGACAAATACTTTAACTATGGCTACAGGCTATATGCTTTCTGTATTGCCGAGAGGATCGCTGCGTTCTCATTTCCGACATATTTTTCTTATGAACGCCATTCGGTCTTCTCTTGGCCATAGTGTAGCCTACTGTTCCTCTGCGAATGAAGTAGATTGGTACCAACGGCAGCCACGGTTGCTGATGCTCCATCAGGACAGTTCAGTCAACGCAAACATCCGCCTGACCGTATATAGGTTTTGCTCGCTGACGTCGTGCCCAAATGCCACGGCTGTTTTCCCATAGCTCTGTCTGTTTCACCGGCCGCTGCTGTTGCAGCTGGTATCGCTACTGTTTGTGGCTGCATGTCCTGTAGCTGCAGCACGCGGCATACGCTGCCTCATGCTCCAGCTTGTCTGATGTATTGAGACCACTGCACGCCCTTTTAATTTCGTTTGTTCATGGCATCTAGGATTTGAAGCCTAGGCTGTAGGGCTTGAGGTGTGGGGTTTTGCATGTAGGCTCTTGAGTGCATAAGAGTCTGCCTAGACCGCACACACACCCTTTTGCTCTGCTAGCGCAAAGGCAGAATAACATGGCCGCTGTAAACGCTTTTAGAAGCGACTCTAGCCTGGTAATGTTTGCTCCTACACATACGACATGCGCGTGAACGCCTGATTTGGACTGCCGTGAAGTAAGCGCAGTACCATTTGGTAGCGATACAGCCCATTGTGGCGTCATAATAAGCAGCTGCTGCATCAGGACCCCACTATTTAGTAGCCTGATGTGCAGAAATACCGTAGCAGGTTCACTCAACAGCTCGGTGTAAAACATGCCTTCTTCACAGTCCAGTAAATGGAACAGCTGCGACAGCATCAGCTGGTGCTGCTGCTGTAACAGAAATTGCAGCGCAAGGAGAAGCAACGTGGCGTACCATGCAAAGTTAACTGCCCTTGAAGTTTGTCCCGTGGAAATAAATCCAGCTTCGCCTTTGCAGTATCTCTTCAGCCCACGAAGGGAAACCAAACACGGAGATACGCACTAAAATGCACAGCGTGGCGTGGGTATATTAACCACGATATATGCTTCCGCAGCTGCGGTTGCAGTCACTAAGTAAATGCTGCAGATGCCGCGTTTGGCGTGTATTCAACGGGATGCTGCAGCCGCAACGTGCCTAACTGTTCCTCTTCTTGTAAGGGCTGCTGCTGCTGGCGTTGCCGTTGACGCGTCTCTGTATTGCCAATATATGGCTGATTCAGAGTTTGGCACCTGCCATGCGGAAAAGTTCCTTTGCTTTATCGTGGCGATCAAGGAGCCGCATGAACCTTTGCCTGATCCGTGGGTCCTTGAGCTGCTCAGGTGTCTGTTGAGCAGCAACAGCACGACACACACATGAAGGTATTCAGCGTAACCAATGCATCAAAAGATGTAATGAAAATACCACAAAGGCAAGCTTAGGAAGGAACAAAGCCTGCATAACTGTTGTTCCATTCGAACGGCAACACACCGACCACTTCCTGCATGAGTCGCAGTTCAGTTACCCTTGTTTATGTAAGACGTGTATTGAACTCCCCTAAAGCTCTCTCCCTGGTACCATCTGGCACCAACATAGAGACCCGTAGATGCCTCTATCGCACACTCCAGCAGCAACGCTAGCATTCGTTTGCTCTGGTTGGCTCTTCTCGAAAAAGTGCTGCCGCTTACCGTCATCAGTTTGTTGACGTCAAGGCCTTCCCTCCGACCGTCCTCCACAAACTCTGCCCACCCAGGGCACGCGGATAGCTCGTTACCTGGTTGCTGCTGCTGAATCGGTTGCTGCTGTTGGATCGGTTGCTGCTGCTGCACCAGTTGCTGCTGCTGCTGCACCGGCTGCAGCTGTAGTGTCTGGTGTGGCGCCGGTTGTTGCTGCTGCACCGGCTGTATCGGCTGCTGCTGTAGCGGTCGTTGCTGGACAGGCACCAGGACCGGATGAGCTGCATGCGGTGGCATGTGCAGAGCTTGTTGCTGCTGCTGCAACAGGAAGGAATGTGGCAGCACTGGCACAGGGTGCAGCAAGAGGCCCTGGGGCCCCACTATGGCACCTGGAACGGCCACACGAACAAAGGCCCCCGGAGGCTGATGCAGCATGCGGGCTGCTTGTTGCTGCTGCAGTAGCTGCTGCGGGTGCAGGTGCTGCTGAGGATGTAGCAGCTGTTGCTGAGGCTTCAAGTGCTGCTGCTGCGGCTGCTGTTGCACAGATGGCTGGGACTGCATTGCAAGTGCCGCAAGCCCCGGCTGTCCAACCAGTTGCTGTTGCTGTTGCTGCTGCTGCTGCTCGGGGTGCATCAGACGGGATTGAGTCTCCTCCTGCATTTGTGGTGGATTTTGTTGCTGCCCGAGAGTGCTTGCATTAGTTGGTCCTGTCGCTGCCGCTGGGTTGTGCTGCTGCTGTTGCTGCGGCTGTGCTTGCGGTTCAGGAGGTGGGGGGGGCGGGGGAGGGGGCCCGGCCGGGGAGGAGGAAAACTCCTGTGTCTGCAAAACGCTGGCAGCAGTGTGCTGTTGCTGCTGCTGTTGCTCTTGCTGTGAAGGCTGGGGAGCGGGTGTCTGGACGTTCTGCGCATCCCCCTGTTGTTGCTGTTGTTGCTGCTCTCTGTTAAGCCTGGTGAGTCCGCCTGGGACTGAGGCCTCAAAGGCGTCGACGTGTTTGCTGGGGGCCCTGCTGCTGCCTTTAGCTCTGCTGCGGAAGGGGTCTGCTGCCGTGCGGGGGCCCATAAGAGAGCCAGAAACGAAGGGGAGACGCCCCCCGCCGGGGGCCCCAAAGGAGGGGCCCCCCACGCGCGAAGACACATGGGCCTCTACGGGAACGGGGACTTCCCAGGGGGTCTGTAGCAGCAGCCGCAGCAGCACAGAAGTCAGGGCTTTTAAAGAGGGAGGAGGGGATCTAGAAGGCCATATTGGGCAAAGAGGCAGGCAGAAGGATAAGAAGGAAGAGGGGAGGCCAAAGGAAGAAGGCGAGACAATAAAAACGGCGCAGTAGCGCTACCAAGAAAAACGAGACAGAGAGGGGAGAGGTGAGGCGGGAGAAAAATGCGAAACGTGGACACAGAGGAATCCGCTAGGACGCATAAGGGGTAGGAACCCCGAGAAGGGGTTGTAGGACGCTGGAAAACAACACATTTATACTGCGGATGGCAGCAAGTGGTATCTCGCAACGATCAGACGCGAAGCAGAACAACGACACGCGAGCAAAAACAAAACACACACACAACAAGGAGCACAGCAAAACGGCATGCAGCCAGCAGGCGAGAGGCAGCACATCCAAAAAGGACATAAAGGCGCCCTACCGCCTTAAGACGAGTGAAAGGATCCGAGAGCCACGCGGGAAGAACTGTCTCTTCAGGGGCTTCCTCTCCAATTCCGACGACTGCCTCGAGGGGGGCAGCGCAGGCAGCGCCGCCGTGGGATGTCTCCTGCAGCAAGAGCCACAGGAAAGGGCGGTTAGAAGATACATATATGGGCATACGCATAGTTACATAAACAAGCATACACACTGGAAGGAACCACACGGCGCAAGCAGCAGCCTCCTCCCACGTCAAGGCAGGCCATCAACACCCAGTGGAGGAGACGCCTCACCAGATGCAGCGTCTGCGCGGCAACTCGCAGCACTGTTTCCAGCGCATCGTCGCCGATCCAGGGAAGGCAATCGCCTTCATACGGTGGACAGCGGGAGACAAGGGAGGGCACACAATAATTTGTGCGTCGGAGGGATATCAGGAAAGCCACATCAAAGTGCTGCGCTGCAGCGAGCAGCCGGCGCTGCCTGTCCGCTGCAGCGAGCGAAGCCAAACGATCTTCCGGAGAGAAAGCCGCTGTTGCCAAGAGCTGCACACGTGCAGACAGACAGACAGACAGACAGACAGACACACACACACACACACACACACACACACACACACACACACACACACACGCAAGAAATTAAGGAGGCCTGTATATCAGCTGCGGCAGTAATGCAAGTATACACACTAGCGAAAGCCCGGGGGCATGGCGCTAACACCCTCTGCAGCCGCACGCTTGGAAGAACGCCGCATGCAGCAAGCACCATGCCGCATGCAGCGGCCGTGCAAGTCTAGCTACTGCAATCTTGCGTACGAGAGGGGCCGCCTCCACAGGCAGCTCGAGCACAGCCTTTTCCAGAGCTTTCGCACTGTCCAGAGTCAGGAGGGCAAGCCGCGTTTGCCTCAGGAGTCGCGCTGCATGCACTGGACCTCTCCGCTGTTGGGCCGAGAGAAGCAATTCACACTGCGAAAGGAAGGCCAGCAGAGATCGCTGCAGCGGTCGCAGCAGCGTTCTCCTCGGATCCTCCTCCACTTCGTCTGCACCGGCTAGCCCTCCTCCTGCTTCTGTTGCTTCAGAGGTGTGCGCGCTGCTGCCCCCTACTACGGGGCCCTGCAAATCCGAGTAGAGCTCAGCGGCGTCATCCGCAGCAGACACCTCCTGCGGAAAAAAGAGGACAAAACGAGAAGAACCACCGATGCCTCAAGCACAATGAGACGAGGAGATCGGGCCATGTGGCAACACGAGGGCTCCCACGTCGACTGCGCGGAGTTTTAAGTGCGTCAAAACACACGTCCACCTGTATGGGGCCCATAGAGCTCTCCGACTTGTTCTCCTGTGGAGGCGGACACCGAGGCTTCAGCTTCCATGGAATTGGCACACTCTGCAACAGCATCAAGTTGAAGAGAGCATGCAGCGGATAAGGGTCAGTTGCTGCAACGTGGCCACACAGCCTCAGCAGTTGTCTAGCCAACGCAAGCCATCCTAGGCCCTCCGCTGCGGATTCTCTCTGCAACACACCACAGCAGCGCAGCTCCTCCCGCAGATCTTTGAGAAGTCTGAGCCTCCAGCTTTCGGAGGTAGGATGCGCGAGCAAGTCGGGGAGGCAACACGGGGTCGAGCGAGAAGCGTCGGGGGCTTTGCTGAAGGACCCCCACGACAGCAGCTGCTGGAGAGGGCACTCCACAATACCAAGAAACCGAGGCAGCTGCAGATATATGTGCAGCCGCGCGGGGAGACACACAAGGCACCTACCTGTGCTGCTGAGGTGAGCTCTGCAGCGCAGCGGGCAGCAAGAGGACCAAAGCAACAGACAGCAGCTGGCCCAGCCACGAGAGCAGCTGCGCGCTGCGCCTCGTCTCCTTGCAGAGTGGCAAACAGAGCCGAGACGGAGTGTAGCGGGAGCTCGTAAGACAGCAGCATGCACAGGAAGGGCCTGCTGCAGCAGCTGCTAGCAGCCGCAACACATGCCAGTGCCAAATCCAAGGGGGTATCCCGTCTGTTCGCCAGGATGGATACAGCGCTGTACGCGCGCCGCAAGACTGAAGCGTAGTGGGGGAACCCCAGGCCTGTCTTCTTTCTGCTGCTGCTGGTGTCCAAGCCTCCACTTGTTGCCGCGCTGTTGCCACTCCCGCTGCTGGTACTGCTGCTGCTATTACTGCTGCTATGTGCCTCCCGCTGTTGCACTGCGGCGTCTGCTAGGGTCTGATAGCCTACTGCAATTTCCGTGGTCAACCGCAATGCCACGTGCAGCAAGCCTTTCGCGATTTCCTGCTGCAGCATGGCATCTCCCGCAGCCGCTGCTGCGCCTCCTGCATCTGTGCCTGCTGTCGCGTTTCCTCCCGAGGTCCCCCCCCCACACGCCACTGCAGCGAGGCGCTCATGCTGCAGCAGCTCAAGTGACACCTCCAGCAGTCGGCGGCACGGCAATGCGAGGACGCGTTCGAGCTGTCGGTACACTGGAGCAGCAGTTGCAAGGTGCAGTTTTAGGAGACGCTCAACGAACAGCAGCAGACGCAGCAAACGGCCACCCTGCAGGGCGAACAAGGAACGTGGCACTCTGCTGTAAGCCTGAGAAAAACAGAAACGACACAACCGCAATGTGCAGCAGTGCAGCAGCGTCAAGCCAGCACTTTGCAGGCACACGACGAGCCGTCGGCAGTCATCACGCAGCATCTATCTGGGATTCTTGCTCTTGACAGTGCAGCTTTTCCAGCGCCGTGTCCAACTGGCGAGCAGCACGCACTAAAAGCCTACCTGGGTGTTTGGGCAAGGCGTCAAGGCGTCTGTTGCGCGGTCGTTGGCAGGATCTGCTTCTGCCGCTAAGGCTCCAGTTGCTGAAGATGTGACCCCGTCGAGCGCACAAGGGGATTCTGCAGCTGTAGTTGGAGCCTGCAGTGCCATCGGATCGGCAGCTGCATCGTGAGATATAGCTGCCGTTGCTGCTGCTGCTGCTGCTGCTGCGGGGAATCCTGCTGGCTCAGTGAACTTGTCCAATGCCTCAAAGGCTGCGGTAAGGAGGCCATCCATGCAATCGTAGATAAGAGAGTACACTGGAAAACCTTGCATGGAGAGCGCGTTGGCTGCTTCTGCTGCAGCCCCTTGGTGCACCAGTGAGGCCGAGAGAGAAGCACGCGATACCACAGAGAGCAGCTCCGAAAGCTCCTCCATGCGAACCGCCTCGACAGACGTTTGGTGCTGCAGCAGCCCACACAAGCACCACAGGCCGGCTGCATGCCTTGACGAAAAGCAGAGAAAGCGGAGTGCAGAGGGGGTACCACGCTTCTTCGAGACGGCATTAGCCGAACCAGCAGCCGCCCTGCCGTGGGGCGGTCTGAAGCGCACTGCCGCACGAAGCTCTCCTCGCAGAGCTGCTACGCCTCTGCAGCATCACTCGAGCAACCGCAAGCTCACCTTTCGCAAGGCGAGAAGAGGCACGAAATTCTCAGTATTGTTGCCTGGAGCTGCTGAGGGAGCTCCTGAAGGGATGGACGCTGTGGCGGCTCCCAAGACGTCGGCTGCAGGGGGCTCTGCTGCAGCAAGTTGCTGAAGCAACTGAGATGTCAACACATCCCTTATCTGCCGCCACACGCGCAGAACGTCTCCTGCGCCTCCTTCTTCCCCCCCGCCTCCCTCTTCTGGAGCGGCTGCATCTGCGACAACCGACTCTGAAGGCCCCATCGTGAGCTGCCCTGTTGCGATGCCGAGGAGACCTTTTTGCCCTTCTGCAGTCGTAGTTGTAGTTGTTGCTGCTGCTGCTGCCACCGATGCGGCTCCTCCTCCCCCAAGGCGCAGTCGGCACAAGAGAAACAACGGCATCGGCTCCTCGGGCAGAGAGTCCTCTTCTTCCTGAGATCTCAACGCCGCATGCAGAACCGGGGTATTAACCGCTTAGACTGCAGCGGCAGTGGCAGCACGCATCAAGCAAGCAGGCCGACACGCGGAAAAGCCGTACAGTGGGAAAAATTTTCTGATGCTGCCCAGTAGCTGGCTCACCACAGAGACGTGCTTAGGCGTGTATGGCAACCGCAAAGTCTCTAATAGGGAGGGAAGCCTTGCTGAGAGGGTTATTACATGCGCCTCCCCCGCAGTCGCTAAGGTGGTAGTGCTGCTGCTGCTGCTGCTGCTGCTGCTGCTGCCACCGACTGGAGCTGCAGCAGGATCTGCACCAAGGGACGCCAGCAAAGAGGCAACGGCGCGAGGGGGGCAGACGGACGGTCTCGTGACAGAGGGTACAATATGGAAGGAAAAAGGCACAGCAGGCAGCACCATCCCGTGACTCCATGGTCCCATAGCATGCAGCAGCAAGAGGCCAGCCTGCTGCAGTTGCGGCAGCAAAATGCAACTCTGCAGCAGCTGCCGCAACACGAATGCTTGTGAGTCCCTCAACTGTAGCGACACTTGACGCTGAATGCGACAAACCCAGGAGAGGCAGCTCCGCAGTCGCAGTATGGCCTGCACAACCCACCAAACACGAATCAGGCAAAGCGACGAGCACCCATGGCGGCTAGAGCCACAACAACTTGCATCCACAAGACACGGATACCGTACAGCTCACTGGACACAGTCGCTTTATCAAGAGGGCAAGAAGCAGCTGCTGCCGCTAGAGCTTTTGTAGCTTCTGCTACCCTTGAGAAGCGTCGCTGCGAAACCTCGACCCCCCTCGCCTCACCCCGGCACAAGCTCACCCCGGCACAAGCTCCCCCCGTCACAGCCCCCGTTCCTTTTGTAAAGGTCGAACCAACAACCATAGCCTCAGAAAAAGCACTCAACTCTCAACTCACCTCCGGACGAAAGCCCTCAAGAGTCTGCAGCCACTGCACAGCATCAAGACACTGACTTGCTGTCGTCGGCTGTTTCTGCTGTGTCTGCTGCACCAAGCTGCCGCTGCCGCTGCTGCACTTGCCGAGCCACTGCCCGGCAGAAAGCAGACTGGCTGCTGTGAGTAGGAGCATTTGCTGAAGCTGAGATCGCCGGAAGCCTATCCAGAAGAGGCCCTGTAAGTCCGTAAGAGCAGCTTCAGCAGCGTTCAGCTCTTCCACCAGGGGAGGCATGAGTGTGTGCAGGGCAGCAAAGAGCAGCTGAAGCAGAGACTCCAGGGTGGGCAGACAGGAGTCTCTTGCCGCGGTCCACAGAGACAGCATCTTTGCGACTTCCAACGACGTCTGAGAGGCCGCCTCTGTCTCTGCAAGCCACGCCACCGGAGGCGCTATGCAGGCTACACAGCGAGCAACGGCGGATAGCACTGCCGTAAGTCCTTCTGTCGAGACAGCCACAGCAAAGCCAACCCCTGGGATGAGTGGAACGCTGCTGCAGGCGTTAGAGTTGCCGCCATGCGAGCACGCAGATCCTGAGGCTTCAGCTGCTGGCTCCTTGTCTTGTTGCAGCAGCTCCCTTTCCCAAGGAAGTAGCAGCCCGCCATCCTCGGGTGTCTCGTCTGGATGCTGAATGCCTTCGTCCTCCACTGGTAGAGCTGCTGCTGCTGCTGCTCTTCCTGCAAAAGCCGTGGTGTGTTCGGCGCAGTCTGTCTCCCCCAGTGGCTCTTCCTCCGTAGGATCATCTCCCGCAAGGAGCAGATGCGGGCAGCGGCGTACGAGCAGCAGCAGCAGACGTCCAGCAATCTTTGCCGTTGCAATTTCTTCTGTCAATGGAGGAAGCCTCCATGACGAACCCGGCAGAGAGGACGCGAGGCACCCTACAGGGGGGGCACCACCAGTACCACCAGTACCACTGCTGCTGCTGTTGTTGCTGTTGCTGCTGTTGCTGCTATTTGCCGGCTTTGGCGTGTCTTCTCCCCAGTCGATTTCGGTAAGCTGGATCCCTAAAGAGTCTGCTGCTCCCGCCAAGATCGCCGCATTGCTGCTGCTGCTGTCTGTGGCTCCATCGCCATCTGCTGCTGCTGCCGAAGCCGCACCCCCTTCTGCAGGAGCTGCTCCGTCTGGATGCTCCGCTACTCTCAAGCCTCCTTTCAGGCCGCAAGGGGGGCAAGTCACTCGGAGAGACGCGAGGAGACACGAGAGAGTCGGAGGAGGCATCAAAGGCTTTGCAGGCACGAAGTTAATGGCCTCCGCGAGCTGTACAGCCACCTCAGCAGCAGAGGGCAGTTGCGGTTGCTGCTGTTTGGCCATGCTCTTGCTCTCCCCACAAAAAACCTGCTGCAGCGCTCCGTAAAGCAGCTGTACACGCCGAGCCAGAAGGGGGTCACCTTGAAGCAGCTGAAGCAAATATCCATAGTAGAACAATCGTGGCAAGAAAAGCACTTGGTAGGCGGTGGGTGCACCAACCGCGACAGCTTCCCCCTCAGAAAAGGGGGCAGCAGCAATAGAACAAGCAACAGCAGCAGCAATAGAACAAGCAACAGCAGCAGCAATACAAGAAGCAGCAATAGAAGAAGCAGCAATAGAAGAAGCAGCAATACAAGAAGCAGCAATAGAAGAAGCAGCAATAGAACAAGCAACAGCAGCAGCAATACAAGAAGCAGCAATACAAGAGGCAGCAAAAGCATCTTACGGAGGCGAAGGTGATTTCCTGTCCTACAGTTGTCCATGTGGGAGCAGCTGAAAGTAGAAGCTCTGAAGCAATAGTCGCTGCGGCGTCTGCAGGTGTGGCGGCTTCGGCAGCCGCTGATGAGGCGGTAGGAGCAGCGAATGAGTCTCCTGAAGCTGGTGAGGGAGCAGCGGGGGGGGGCGAAAACACTAGCGGGGAGAGACAGCACAAAAGATGACTTCCAAACATCCACAAGAAAAGGCCGCCTGCTGTCGAGCTGTCCGCAAGGGTGCACACGAGGCGCAGGAGGGCTCCTAATACCTCTAAAGAGGCTCCAATGCTGCATCCTGCTGCCGCATCTGCTACTGCTGGAGAACTTCGCGCGACAATGGAGGCTATCCAAAAAATCAGGTGCCTGCAGGTATGGCGCGCATGCGATACGGGGGTTGGCGGCATTATCTGCGTCTCGAACTCGCGGTAGAGGAAGAGCAGCTCTAATAGCACGCACACAGCACCGACAGAACCCCAACAAAAGAGCAGCAACAGCAGCAGCAACAACGGCAGCAGCTTTTATTTGAGCTACCCTTCCAAGCGCGAGAAGATCAAGGTTTCTGCCACCACAGCCGCTCCGGCTGGTGAAGATGTAAGAGCCGCCAACGCCGTGAGAGCCTCTGCATGCAAGCCCCCACAGGGTGCTTTGCGATTCGTCCTTCTGTCGCTGTCGAGAGGCACGCCAAACGCTTTGAAGGCGAGAGCTCTGGCAGTAAACCTCAGACGGAGAGCTACCGTCGTAGCCGCAAGCAGCCCAGCGGCATGCGTATCCCTGCTAGAAGGGAGATCCGCTGTGGCTGTCTCTTCGAGGCAGCTCAGAGTGCGTTCGACATCCCACTCCGTGCAAACAGCATAGCGTGTTTCAAGAGAGGTTGCTAGCACCTGGGCTGCCACCAGCTGCATTCTGCAACCCCTACAGCTGCCACAGTCTATGCCGTTGCTTCCCGAAGTCAGACATCGCGCGAATATCTTGTGCGCCGCTGTCTCCGCTTCACCCAAGCCGCAGAGAGCTTCGAGCCATGAGGCCAGCAGCGAGAAGCGTCTGCACGTCTTCTGGCTGTCTGAGGCACCCTCGTCTTGCTGCTGTTGTTGCTGCTGCTGAGCTGCTGCTGCTGGAGACGCCAGTGCAGTGGCAACAGCAGCAGGCAGTTGGTGCTCAACCGCTGCGCAGTGCTGAAGGAGGAGGCTGCTGCAGCGGTCCAGATCCTGCAACACCTGCTGCAGCAGCACGTGATCATGACCTCGAAAGACAGAAGTCATTCCATTGCTGCAACCGGAGATATTCTGCAGTAACAGTCGCACGGCAGCTAACAGCCGCTTGTCTGCAGCAGTAGGGCCTGGCAGGCACTCCAGTCGCCAGCGAGCAGCTCCCACCGCTGCTGCAAGAGAGGACGAGAAGCTGGTGCTGCTGAGGAAGCGCACTAAAAATAGGGGTATTTTGCTGCAGTGCTGCAGAGACAGCTGCCTAGGGTCCCAAGCGCATTGGTGAAATCCAAAGGAAATCTCAGCCTATGGCAGAAGCAGCACCGAAAAACGCATAGCTGCCTATTTAGGCCCCTATTCTCTCGAAGTGCGCAGAGCAAGCGGTTCGTCGGGGAGAGCGTCGTAAGACTCCAAGTTTCCCTCTCGATCTCTCCCACCCCCCAAAATACAAAGGCAACACACGAAGCTTCAGAGCTACCGTCCATCGCCTCTGCAACACCATGCTCTACAGCTTCAGCTGCTCCTCAAGCAGCTCTCTGAATCCGCCTTACCTCAAGGGTACCGTCCAAGCGCGAAGCCGCACTGAGAGGAGGCAGAGAGACCTCTTGAAGGAACAAAAGGCACTTCTCCAAGGCATCGGCTGCTTGAGCAATGCGGCCTTCTCCTCCAAGAAGCAAGCGACCTACTACGAGGGCTTCTTCGTCTGACTCCGCTTCTGCTGAAATTGTGCGGCTGTCACTGGCTATAGAGAAAGACAGGGCAGACAGAGGGTCTGCACTGTCGGCCTCTTGTGTGCAATCGCTCGGGAGCGGCTCCCTCTTCTGACTTTCCCCCCCCTTTGCTGCAGTGACGTCTGCCGCTACTTCTCCCTGAGGAGGAGCCTGCGTGAGGCTCTGGCAGCTGCTGCGAAGGGCCCCCAGATACTGCCACGCCTCAATGCGCAGCACTACTGCCCCCACCAAGCGTTTCAGCGCTAGGTGAGAAATAGACACATCACTGGCCAAAGACTCCCTAAAGACGTTCAGAAGGCACACCCCCTTTGTGCTGCTGCTGCCCATACAACTGTCGCTCTTGCAGCTGCTAGCTTGCCATTCCTCTAGGGCCTGCACTTCTTCCTCCCTTTTCAGGCTTGACGGTGCTTCCTTGCTGCTTCCGAGAGTCGTCTCCCACATCTTTGACTGCCCCTCGCGCAGCGACTGCCCCTTTTGCTGCTCTTCCCCTTCGCCATCCAAACCTACAAACGCCTCCATAAGAGCCGCATGCGACAAAAGGCCCCCCAATGTTTTGAGCGCTTCCGCCCGAACTCTCCAGCTGCCACGGTATTTTAAAGTCTTGCTATGACTTTCAAGACTGCGATTGCAGCGATTCCAATGGCTGTCCTTGCCTGTTACCACCGATAAAACACAGCCCACCGCATCCGCTGCCTTCAGGCACTCTACACTTTGCTGCAGGGTAGCTACACGACGGAGCAGCTTCAGCAGCAGCAGCTGCTGCTTGCTTGTCGTGATGCGAGGCCCTCCTGTGCTGCTGCTGCTGCTGCTGCCACTGCCCCTCTCCTTTTGCTCCTCCGGTGTTTGCTGCTCCTGAGCGTCGACTGTGAAGTGGAGAGCTGCGAACAGCCGCGATTTCCTGCCTGAAGCTTCCTTGAGACTCCTCTTTCCTCGCCACGTCCTAGCGTTCGCGCTGCAAGCCTTCACGGAGTGCTCTGCTACTGCATCGACCTCGCCAATGCTCTGCTCTGGAGGCAACAATCCCTCCAGCAAGAGACACTGCGTCAGACTCTCTGCTGCAGCAGCAGCAGCCGCTGCACAGGGCTCCTGCCGACGGAGGTGAGCCTGCAGACCACTGATAGCCGCTACTGTAGTCGCAGCAAGGAGCTTCCAACTTGCGGCGGGCAGCACCGCCTCCGAGAGGCGTGCGGCGGGGGACGGTAGCTCCTGTAACAGCTCTGACACCAACTGCAGCAGCTCTACCCAGAGAGAGGGAGGCGGCAGAGGCAGCGAGAGGACGCTGGGCAGGAGTAGATGCTGCAGCTGCTCTCCACGACAACGCACACTGCTGCTCGATGCCGACGCCAGAGGGTCCTCGACACCCTCCGCAGCTACTGGCTTGGATCGCGCATCCGCATCTGCAGTAGACGATGTGGCGGTAGCTGCTGCTCCTGCTCTTGCTGCTGCCTCGTCTGCACTGCCCGCTTCTATCGGTGGCGCTGCAGCATGCGCAGCCGTTGCCTCGGAGGCTTCTTCAGGTTGTGAAAAGAGGTCTGCCTCCTCATAGAAGGCAGCGGCCTGTGCGGCTTCTTCATCTGGATCTGCTGCAGTTCCTTCAGGCGTGGCCAAGTCGGGTGTCTCCCGGTATGCATTCGCTGCCCCTGCTGCATTTGAGGCTTCAGGAAGATCGTCAAGAGAGTGCTTGCGCTTCGAACGACTGCGTGCAGTGCTCTCCGGAGGACTGCCTGCTGCAACTGCTGCCCTTGTCGCTTGGGGAGGCACTGCCCGGAGGTGGCACTTGAGCAGCTCGTCGTGTAGGGGCAGGAGCAGCCGTTCGCGCAGCAGTCTTCGCATGCTGGAGGCAAGGCGCTGCAGCTTCGGCGTGGCGGCTACTTCTTCCTCCTGCTCCGCGGAGGCTGCCGCATGCGCGGCAGCCGTTGCTGCAGAGAGGACAGCTGCAGTGCCCCCTGTGCCTGTAACGACTTCCGCTGCGTTCGGAAGGAGCAGGGGATGGCCGTCTCGAGGGAACAAGATCCCCTCGCAGTTCCCTGGTGGTAGTGCGCCTGATTGTTTCTCTGCAGCAGCAGCAGAAGCTGCAGCAGCAAGCGGCTGGACGTCTGCCACGACGCGATCTGCAAGCCCGCGAAAGGTCGTTACGCCGCCAGGTGACCTCTTGGCAGTGCTGCGACACGCAACGACGAAAAACAAACACGTTCGGCAAGGCACTTAGGTGCTGCCGTGCCATGACATGCACAAAGTACAGCGGCAGGCGCCCCTGGATTGCACGAAGCCTCGTGTGATGAACGGCAAGGCACACACACACATATGCAAAGCCCTTTTCTTAGGACAGGCCGCTCGAAAACAAGGCCCTACTGCACGTGCATTCTATAAGCACGAGCCTCCGCATGCCATTTAATGCAGCATGCAACAGCATGCAGACGCGGAGCAAGTCTGTGCACACACGCGTCATCCAGATTTGCTAAGAAGGGCCAAAAAGCTAAGCGCTCAAGGTTGCGTCGCACTGTTGGAGAAAAAGAAGAACCCCACCTTGACACTCGACCCCAACAAAGCCCGCCTCTTTGGCCGCTACCCTCCGTACTTTGAAGGCAGCCGAATAGGCCCTTTCGCTTACAGGTAATAAGGCTTTGGAGTGCCTGTGCCGAGAACGACGACGGAGAGTTTGCTGAAACGTCCTAAAAACACCAGTTCGTCCACTTGGGGTGTCTCTCCTACACCGTCAGGAGGCAAAAAGGAGGCCCACTCGTGCTGCGACTGCTGTTGCTGCTGTTGCTGCATTTCTTGCTCTGCTGCCGCCGCGCAGCCTGAAGAGATCTGAGACGTGAGAGCGATGTAAGAGGGGCTCTTTCCCTCCACCAGACGCCGCGCAAACACGCGAAGACCACAGGCAACCGGGGGAGGCGTAGAGTGACCCTCGATGTCTGGCAGCAGCGGGTGAACCTTTTCGCCTGCAGCCAAGATGAGCACTTGTTTTAGAGCGACACGCGCTCCAGGAAACAACAAACGCTCGCAGCAGAGGGGGAGGGAATGCCCTGAGGGCGCTTGGGGGGCCCCCCTAGGGGGCCCTCCAGGGGTGACAGCCTCCGATGCCTTTGAGCCGGCTTCCAAATCTGTCGCGGCGCACACCACCACGTCTGTACCCGCTTCGATCGCGGGATGCAGAGACAGACGACCTGCTGTAGTAGAGGGCCCCCCCCCCCCAAGGGCCCCCACGCCGAATCCTAGGGGTGCTCGACTTCCACCATAAGGCAATGCCGCTGGGGGGACCACTGGGGCGGGTGTTGCTCCTCCGACGCCTCCTACACCGATCACCATGGCCTGCCGCATCTGCTGCTGCTGGTGCTGCGCAGGCAGCTGCTGCTGTTGTTGCAGAGGACTGCTCTTTGCTGCTGGATCACCTGCGAAAGAGGCAGCTGTGGGTGTACCGTACGGCGTCGCAGCTTGGGGAGGCGCTCCAGTGGCGAGGACGCCAACAGCCGCCCCTGGTGGCTGGGTCCTCACGGGAAGTCTGCTGGGCTGCAGCATCTCCTGCAGAAGCTCTTGCAAAGATGCCGGGAAAGCGGCAGCACACTCCCGGGGGCCCCTCCAGAACCCCTGCAGGGTGAATGGAGTAAATAGGAAGCGGGGGGGAGGAGATCGAAGCAGGCAGTGCAGAAGCAGCGGGCGGATGCACAGAGGGGTCAAAGGACTGAGCAAAGCGCATGCAGCAGCCGGAGGTAGCACGATACGGCCGCTTGATATCAGGAAGGCCCCATGCTAGAGAGGAACCGCCAAGAAGGACGTTGATTGCCGCCTCAAAGTATGCGCATGTCAGAGGGAAACGGCAGAAACGGCAGTATACGGGTACCACGGCTACAAAGAGCTACGGTTTAAGAAGAGGAACACGCGCTTCAGCAGTCGAGGACATGAGGCCCCCCCCTTGACAAACAGCAAGGTGCCGTGGTGGGGGGCCCCCAAGGAAGTGGGCCCCTTTGACAGATAATAAAGAGGCAAGAGAAGCAATAAAAGGTGTACTGAGTGCCTCTCAATACAGAACAAATAGCAACAAACCTGCTGCCGGAGCGGCGGCTACCAACGCAGTCCCGCTAAACGCGCATGTGCTGCAGTACCAGGGCCCCTTGAGCCTAGGGGCCCTCCTCCTTCGTTCTTCCCTCTACGTTGCACGCAGAAACTTGCTCCAGAAATAGTCTTTGGGGGAGAAACTGCGGTAAACTCTTTTGTGGGGCTCAAGGGGCCAAACACAATGTTGATATCGGTCCCAGGCTACAAGTACTCCGAACTAGAAGTAGGAATGCGGAGGGATAGCCTCCCTTCTGCTGGATTTTAGTGGCCCACGAGTCGTCTGTCATTTGCCTTGCATGCGGATGAAGCCGCCGTGCTGTCTCCGACATTTTGCAAGGGCTCTCCTAAGGTGCAGCGGTCCGAGCTTCCCTGTAGCTCCTTGTGCATTACCCTAGTTGTACACACTTGAGAGGCAAGCGGACAGGTCCCAGCGCTCGTGTATTCCTTTTGCTGCAGAGTTCTGCCAATCGCCCCCATAACAACAAGCCGCCGCCATTAGTTCTACTTACTATCACAGCACAGAGGCAGACTCACTTCAAATGCTCAGAGGGTGTGTCAACGTAGTGCCTGGCTGTCCTCTCTCCTTTCTTGCCGGAATGGCGTGGGCGCAGCCGTAGCTTTTCCTACGGAGACTCCTTGCAAAGTCACCTAGCTCCACACTCGAACAGACGCTAGAGCAAATTCATCAAGTTTTCCTGGAAAGCTCTCCAAATACCTACCCTCCTCCTACAGGCTCAGAGGCGAGAGGTTGCACTGCTGCACTATCGATGTGCAGGGCGCAAAGTTGCACTTAAACCCTTTTCGCTACAAAAGTTTCACTTTGCTAGCAATTTCTGAGGAACTAACTAACTGGCCTATGTGATCGTTTACCTCATACACTGCAGTATTTTACCAGCTGAATACAAGGAGACGAAGATTCATGTGCGTGCTCGTTAGCTACTACGTGTAGCTAGCTGTAAACGCTCAGAGTGCTGAAAGGATGCAGTTACGCGCACCGTAGGTGGTCAATCCCCCTCATGCCGAAAAATTAAAGGCACGCAGTGAGCTGAAAGGGACATCCACTTTTTGAAACACTGAGTAACTTTCTTATAAATTTGTGTTGAATCTGGATGTAAGTGTCGTTTTCCGGAGACTTTAGACAAGGCCTCACACTTCGTAGCACCGCACGGTTTAATGCAGCCGTTCCCCGCTCATCCATTGCATGTGGATGCAGAGGGAATGCTGTATATCCTTATAAAAGTTATCCGCCTTGATCCAGTCATTTGTCAATTCAGCATAGTGATTATTTCTCCCAGCAGGCTGTGAGAGAAGTTTTTGTTGTGGAAAGTAAAAACTGCAACGCCTCTCGAGGCACCATAGCCTGTTCTGCAAGCGGCTGTAAGCCCAGCATCAACACACACAAAGAGGCATAATTTGGGAGCAGGTAAACTAATTACGGATGTGTTGATGAGGATATGCAAATCAGGAAAGTGTCACAGCATTTAGGATTGACGGTATGTTTAATCCCCCGTCAAATCAGAACTGGACCCTATCAACATGCTCCGTCACTGTTGAACATGTGCACCATGACGTAATGTTAGGGATGCCATGGGGGACTCTATGGAAGACGCACATGGGGCTACAGCGGCGCGGTGTGAAGACTAAAGTACCGTAAAACTTTGAGAAACACCTCCTGGTCTCCTCAACAACGCTGTTTTCATCTGCTGTGAGCAAAGTAGTGGCTTTGCCCCGGCAAGGTTCTGTAGAGCCTTCATGCGGAAGGCTCAGCAGCGCAGAAAGAGAAAAAGGTTCTGAGTATGCATACAGTCTTAGTGGTTCTGTAACTGGGCCTATCTTCAGGATCCTCGTTTAGCTTTAGCCCATGAACAGCGGCAATGCATGTATCAAATAGGAGCTCGTTGATATGCGTGATATTTACGGGTCGCCAGGTGGCCGGCCACTTGCTGGTCGTCCACATCACTGTATATAGCTATTCCTCGTGTTGGCTTCATGCTATGTTCTGCGGCATCGGAAGCGCCACGAAATGAAGCGGAGCTTGAGTAGCAGGCAGAGGCTTCGTGGAAGAGGGACAAAGTGCAGGAATCAACCAGCGCGTGTGGGCAGGAGCCCGCGCGAATCTGAAAAAAGGCGCATTTGCCTGAACGTTTAGTCTCTGAACAAGATTGCTATCAATAAGCGGCTCCAGATGGCTCATTTCGACAAATAATTCGACGAGCTGCAAGGACTCAAAGGATATTGGACTTCACAGACGCTTTCTGAAATATCCATATTCGCACTGATGGCAGGCACGAAAAGGTGTTTCACACAAGCACGTGCCCGTTCAAGTATGCCTGAATGCTGCGTGGACTTGCTAGTGCCCCAGAGGCAGTGCAGTGCCAAGCTAATCTGGATGTACATAACTCTATCAGGCGTAGGCTGCATGTTGTCCAGGTGGACAACGTGGTGGCATTCAGCCGATACTGCCAAGGGTGATTGTAACACCTACGAGGGCCGGGTCAGCTGTTGCGGGAAAGGCATTCTTGTGTAAAGGCACACAAGTCCCTGTTTCCAACAAAACCAAACGTTGTTCGGATTCAGTGTTCTAGTTTCGAGAATTGAGCCAGATCCGACAAAAAGCGGAGCGATGGTGGCGTGGCCTTTAGCTCTGCGGACCCACAAGGACGTTTGCGAAGGTCTTCGTGCTTGCATTTTAATATTGAAATTTCACTCCTGGGCTTGCTTCGACTGATACTCATCCTGTTGAATTACTTGCAAATCGCACTCTGGGACCTAGACAGACTGCGACGGCAGCAAGGGTGCTTGTCGGTCGCTTTACAGCTCTTCCCGTGCCTTGGTTGCTCGAAGTATGAGCTTCGCTTTTCCTAGAAACCAACGCTAGTGGCGTACAGGCGGCTTTTATTCTTTCCAAAACCAACTAAGAGTTCTTATTAGCACCAATCATTGCTTGCTGTTCTCATCGCTTTACTGAAAAGAGCGGTACAGGGAAAGAAGGGCTGTGCGGTGTGGTAGGGATTACAAAATGCTTAGACGGCCATCATTGTGCTGCCCTCATGACCATCAGGATTTGCAATACACCTCAAATAATTTTAAGACTTCGACAATTCTACAGTTGTTTGCTGGCTTGAGTGCCTCATGCAGTACGACGTTACAGTGAAGTATATTGAGGGCGAAACATAATTGGTCGCTGACGCGATGCCGCGACGCCCCAAAGGTCCCTGTTGTACAGCTCAATCGGCATTGTCGGTTTTGCTTCACGATCGATCTGGCCAATGCATGAGTTTCATGGTTTTTGACATGCATGGCTCTGCTAGTCTTGCCAAAATTTAGAATTACCAAAGGGTGAAGGTCTACCACTTTGAGAATGGCCTCCTGCGGTGCAAAACAAAGTGAATGCTCAGGCACTTGTACGGCAAATGTAAGTACCCTGTTAGGAGATGGGGAATCCACAGGTAGCCGCAAAAGTTCTGGATTCGAGGACTCTTTTGTAACGTGTTTGGGCTTATGTGCCTGGGGGAGATTAAGCAGCTGTATTTAGTTCACATTGCTTGTCGCCATGGACGATTTTTATCCCTGTGTTTGGAAATTGTTTTTCCTTTACGCATACTTTGCGGAAAATATCTGCCTTTATCTACGGGAATAACTTTGAAAGGTCTCAACTCTTCTTGCACCAATACTCGGAATTTCATGCTCAGGCGCTCTCATGCACGTTGCCTCTACCTTCTTCCATGTGATTCTTTTGGAGCTTTAAGATAGACATTAATGCAAGCACTGCCTGTATTTTGATGCAGAGTTTACTCTCTGTGAATTTATGCCACTGCTGAACTAAGGTGAACTCTAGTTCCTTCCACACATTGCTTTTATCGTTTCGTAGCATATGGTCTTGCATATTTCAGCGCTCCGATGACAGCGAGCCATTGTGTCTCCGCGGTCCCGCCCTTTTGGTCCCGCGTAAGTTGCTGGATATAGTACGTGTTTTTCCTTTGGCTGATTTCACAGTAGCGGCTGATGTATACATCTGCTTTTCTCATCTGCACCATTCTAGCGCTTTTGCCTCCCTGCGAGTGGCGAGAGGCTGGAAACTCTTCCGCTGTCCTACACGCAGTTGTTCTCGACGTATAGGTACGTGAAAGGACACATGCTTGATATGGCGCTCGGGGAAGCTGTAGCAGGCTGAGCTACACAAATACACTTCATAGTATAGCAATCATGCTCGACTGACTCTTAGTGAAGATTTGCCTGATTGCTGTCGCTGTTCGTGGGTGTTACGTTTTGCAGAGAAGTATTGACTCGACGCACGAAAGCAAGAAGTTGTGTGTATATGTACTGGATGCTAAATGTGAATAGCCGGTAATGTTCGAAGTGCTTGAGGGGTGGCAGCAACGCGTACCCTAGCAATCCCTATTCCCCCATATCGGGAACTCTTGAAAAAACTGAGGACAGGGAAAAGAAAAAATCATTTTGCTAAACATCTAAGAACTTGAAATTAAGTGCGTATTAAGTGCAAATATATTTGTCTCCGTACGGAGACCTCAGATGGAGCGTTCAACGAGGTCGTCCGGAGGACCACTTCGTTGCCTTTCTCGATGTTGCACGGTTTGGATCGTATTTAGGTGTGCGAGCAAGATGCATTCCTTCTAAAACTGAGCAGGGGTCGAAGTACAGAAAGTCGATGCAGGCAATTAGATGGAACAAGAAAGGGGCAAAAGAGGCTGTATTTGCCTAGTTGTTCTTGCACATACGCAAGGAGCTGGTCCCTAGTTCGCGGCAAGGTATATGAGTATTGCTACCGTTCATTATTGACCTAGCTGTTTGAAATTAACAGAATTAAGCCATCTATAATCTATTGCGGCTGCTCAACGCAGGCAGCATAGCACGTGACCCCGAGGGGCCCCTTGTCTCCTCCCCGCTCAGGTGACCCTGGGGTTACTCTATATATCGGCGGCAGTCTGGTCACCCCTCTGCGCGTTTATCAGTATATATCATTGTTTGCAGTGCAAAACTCTAATACTCAGGGCCTCGAGAGCTATTTGAAGGTATTTTGGAGTTCCCATTCTCCCCACCAAGGAGGATGACTGCCGGAGTCAAGTTCGTGGCGCTTGCCGCCCTGCTCTCCGCTGCTCCAGCGTAAAAAAGCACTAAAGTCCCAGATCCGCCCAATCCGCTATAAGTCTATAATTCAAACCTCTATTCTCTTCAGCCCCATATACTTCTCATTTGGCTGTACATGTATCTTGTGTTCTCTCTTTCTTTCCCTGTAATTCTAAAGAACTCCTACAGGACACCCTTGATCTCGTCATTCCTGTATGCCCTGCCAGTTCCTGAGAGCCCTAACTCGCATAAGCCTTGCTATTGTAAGACAGATCTGCATGGTGTTTGTGTGGAGCTCTGCGGGTCAGGTGGGGATGCTTTCTGGACCACACGGACTACCAGGGTGCTGACTTGGATCGTTTGCTGGGGAAGGTGATGACCGCAGCTCAGTGCCAGAGTGCGTGCCAGGGGATCCAAGATTGCACGCACTGGACATACCAGCCGACCACAAACTCTTGCTACATGAAGAGCGGCTCACCTGTCCCGTCCCCGGCTGAAGGCCTCATTTCAGGTCCACGTATCTGCCCGGGACCAGTGGACTGTTCGCAAGCAGGCATTGACCTCTTCGGAGATGATATCATCAATACAGAGGTCGCGAATGCACTTGCATGTCAGTATCAGTGCGTAGCGGTCAATGGCTGTATGTTCTGGACCTTTATTTCTAGCACCAGGAGGTGCTATATGAAAGGTGCAAATGTCGATCCACAGCCACATAAGGAGGCTATTTCTGGACCAAGGGAGTGCCCCACAACGGAGCCCATAAGCTGCGAGATGTCCACAGACTTCCAGGGCCACGATATCAGAGGCTTCCACGGAACGGTCAAGGACGTAGCTGCCTGCCAGGAGCTCTGCAAAGGATTCAACAATTGTTTCTACTGGACGTTTGTGCAAAGCACAGCCTCGTGCTACCTGAAGAGCCAGAGCGCCGCCGAAGGGAGAGAGTACAACCCTCAAGCCTTTTCTGGAACACGCAACTGCGATCTTTCCACACACCCAGTCTCTCCGTTGCCTACCACCACCACAACAGCACCCCCAAGCTCCTGCCTGTTGGAGAACTACGATTATCCAGGATCGGATATCACCTCGTTCGGGCTCGGCTCCGTTACCAAGCCCGAAGCCTGCCAGCTCCTGTGCCAGTACTCCGAGGAGTGCGCGCACTTCACCTTCTTCGAGGGCACTTGCTACTTCAAAAGTGAAGCAGCTCCTCAGGCGATCACCCCCAAGGTTGGGGCCATCTCAGGACCTAAATACTGCACCGTCCACGACACCACTACCACCACTACCACAACCACAACTACCACAACCACGACTACCACAACCACGACTACCACCCCTGTCGAAACAACCACAACGGCGCCAGCCGAGAGATTGCTACGGTTTCTGAGGTCCTCAGGTTCCTCCTAAGGCGTCCTGATAAGCCTTTGTGTACTTTGAGGGGCTATGAGGGTCCCCGGTATGACCTAGGCAGTTTGTTTTAAAGGTTACCCCTCTCTGGTGGGATGCCCCATAATCGCGCTCAGGCTGATTGCACATCTGCCTCGCTCACGCGTTTTAATATGGAAGCTGTTTCATTTCAAGTGATTTCGCAGCTCGTCTCTCACTTCAAGTCTCCAATTGTTCAGTACCATGGTGGCGCACGCATGATGCAGGCAGACGCACATACTAGACGGACTCTTACCTATAGTAGCAGACTTGGGGGGCCTTAACCTGGAGGCTGCCACGATAATATAGGAGGCATGGTGTGGCCGCGAAGTCCATAGTGTTTTACAAGACGTCGTATACATGGGCACATACACACATCGACAACTGTGTGCTGGCTTCCTTGCCGAAGTGGCATGCCAGGAGTCAGACCTAAAGGATCGACCGAGCTCTACAGTTGCTGCATAGAGGTCCTCATCTGTCAATCTTTTGCGCGACCGTTGCCGACAGGGGGCGGGGGACCAGAGCACGTCGAACCATGGGGAGGTACTAGCCTCCCGAATAACGCTTGCACCGTGCGTGGCGTCCTAGCTTTCGTGACGCAAGGCTCACTTCAGCCCAGAACGAGCCTCCACTTACACTGTATACGTGAGTATGTACATACACTAGCCATATCCAATGCATTCCTTTAGGCCTTCTTCGTAATCGAAGGCACGCGTTCATAGGAGCGAGGTAGCGGAAGGCAGCTACTTCGAGGGGAGGGAAGAACATAAACTAAAAGGGCCTAGAGCCTCAACTAATGAGTCTTCACTGCAGGGCTCCGCAGACGCGCATGGCTACCCCACTTGCACCTGCTGTCCTTTCCCCTGCCCAAACGTAGCGTAAGTCTGTCTTGCTGCTAAGCATTTAGGCCCAAAGGTCGCGGACACCCACTGTTGCCCATTCGCCGCTTATCGACCCGAAGATTTAGGGGGCATATGGGAATGCTTGTGGGTGTAGGCGCAAGGCACCGCTGCAGCGAACTATCTACTGGAACAAAATTTCCTGTGGCAACTTGACCCAAGGGCAGAGAATGGCAAGGAGGGGCCTCGGGCCCAGCACCTGCTCCATATTCTTACGCCAGCCCCTATTGTACGGAGAAAATGCGCAGGGTTCGTCCGAGACAAATGGGTACACCAGGAACTCGAACAAACCCACGCTACGCGGGGAGGCACTGGACTTACCTCCCACCAGCTCACTATCGTCCACCAGAGACTGTGGGCCCCCAGCAGCATGCTCCGACGGCAGTACCTCCCTCGCGTCTAGATTGTTCTGCAGTACACGTGAGTCGCAGCAACGGCGCAGCTGGCAACATCGACTGCAGCAGACCGTGAAAAGCGCTGCATCCGGGAACGCCCTCTCCCGGCTCCCCTCCCTGCGCAAGACGGGTGACAAATCTGCGTGGTAGGGCTCACCGCGATCGAGAGCGTCGTTTGATTCGACAAGACGAAGTACAGATGCGCGACCAAGAGGAAAAACACCCCAACGCCGACGTTTAGAGCCACACAAAAGGAAGCAAACATCAAATGCCTGATTGCCCAGCCCCCCTGCGCTGCAATCGCGGCATCTAGGAAGGCGTACACCTTGTCACTGAAGGGGGGGGGGCCCGCAAGGGCAGTCGCAGAAGCAGCAACAGACTCCCGAGCTGCGGCAAGTCCGGCAGCTAAGGCGCGCGATCTCGCCTCTTCAGAGGGCTCCCCTTGCTGCGCGTGCTGCTGGGTATTGCCAGCTGCTGCTGCATGTGCGTCTGTGTCTGCGAGGGAAGCAGATGCAGCAGCAGCGGCAGCTCTCCAAGCTTGCGTCGCTGCAGTGTTCAGCTGCAGCTGCGTGGGGGGTGGAGGCGGTGCAGGGGGCAGCCCAACCCCTAACCGGAGGAGCATCTGGATGCCCTTCGCAAGGAGGCCCTCTCTTGGGATGGCAGAAAAGCGATGTTGAAGCAGCAACTGGTGCTCCCTGGCTAGCTCTGCGGGTTCGAGGAGAGCTTCCTCCGTTGGAGGCTGAGCGGCAATAGCGGGCTTTTTCTCCAGCAACAAGACACGCTGTGCAAGGGCCCTGAAGAGTGCTGCCTGCGCGTGAGCATGCTCCCTCCGATCCGCCTCAATATACTTGGCACCTAAGGCGACTGCTGCTGGAGGCAGGAAGACGACAGTTCCGAAGAGAGCCAGGAGACTTCCAAACAGCAGAAGCCCTAAGAAGTAACGGGCATTCCGAACACCCACGCACTGGGAAATCCAGGGGCAGTGATGGTCTTGTCGAACGACGCAAATGCCGCATGCTCTGCAATGACGAGTGCGAGGGCCCTTGAGTCGGTTGCATTTCCCACATACCAGCCAAGTAGCGCTAGAAGCTTGCGGTTCTGTGGGCGTGTTGGTGGCATTTGAGGTGGAGGAGCTGGCGAGGCGGCTTCGCAGAGATTTACGGGAAGGGGAGTCCTCCACTGAAAGACTGCACTCTACTGTAGCCGGAGCTTCCTTCTCCTCCTCTTCCTGCTGTTGCTGCTGTTGCTGTTGCTGCAGTAATGGTAGTGACGACAGCACCTTGATCCGGGAAGAAGAATGTGCCTCTGCCTGAATAAGCCCTTGCCGCTCGGGTAGGTCTCTATCTTCTTTTGTAACGGCAAAAGTAGGGCATGTGGATGCGGTAGCAGGATCAAGAACAACGTTGCAGTGCTTCAGCTCTGACACAACAGATACGGCTTCTGTGGAAGTTTCTGCTTCGTTTTTTCTCAACTCCGCAGTAGGAGCGCAGTTTGGTGCTGCTGCCAGTAAGGCGGCACCTCGTAGATCTGAGGACACGTCTTTCTCGGAAGCTGCGGGAGGTATTGCAGCAGTAGCGAGCGACAAGGGAGTGCTGCAGAAGCGGGCAGAGAGCTCTGCATAGCTTGCAACTCGCTGCTGGGGTAGGGCCCCCCCATGTGCGATGGGGGGGTATCCGGGAGTTACGCACACGGCCTTTCTGTAGTTGAACAGCGTGTTAAAGAGAAGCCACGCCGCTAAGGCAGCTTCTGGGGAGATCCAGGATGCGAAGAGCTGCTGCCACGTCGATGAGTCGTGCTTTTGTTGCTGCTGGCTTCCGGGGAGGAGCGAATGAGAAGCGGACGGCCCTGGGGAGTGGCTCAAAGGAAGTAGGACGAAAAAATACGTGTAAGACGCAAGAACTACCAACGAGGTGGCTATCCAAGGCAGTATTCTTCCAATGAAGCGTAGCACGTGGTCACAGTGCGAGCAGAAGAAGAGGAAACAGGCGCACACGTTATTTACAAGGGCAGCACTAGATCGCTGCCCGAGACGGAAGGTCCAGTCAATAAAAAGGCACCGCATCCCAGACCGCGTACTGTTGCCAGTACTGCTGCCAGTACTGTTGGAGGGGGGAGGCGCACTGCTCCTGCTAGATGCGTTGGAGCAGCCGCTGTGGAGTTGCTGCGGCTGTCTGAGGGGTCGCAGCCGCAGCAGTCGAAACAGCGGCAAAAGCAGAGAACGCAGTCGCATGGCAGTCACTTTGCGGGCCCGACGGAGCACTGCATCTCCCCAAGAAAGGTGATCCATAGGGTTAGGCTGTCTGCGGCGGCTGTGCACTGGTTAGCCACGCCTGAGGAAGCGACATACAGCGCACGCGGACGGCAAGCAGCGACTCGAACTTTGCTCGAACAGTCTGCGGAACCCTTTTAGCGGCAGAAATCACGGCCGAGATGGTGCCTATCAGCAGCATAGAGCCGCGCGTGGGTCCGCCGGAAGGCGGTGGGTGCTCCAGCCCACGCCGCTGCACAGGAGGGCCTGAAGCGTCACAGACTCCTGTCTTTTCAACAAGAAGTCTTTCCTTCCGGAAAGGCGAAGCTGCCCCTTAACAGTCACTTCTGCCTCAAGAAACAAGCGACTGAAGGCATTTGTTAACATATTGCCTGCAAGGCCCCAAGTTGACCCTAAAATCCGCGTAGGGCGTCGTGGGCCCCTCCTCGACGTGGATTTTTGTGGATTCGCTCGGTTTCTCTGCAGTCGTCTTTGCTTTATTCGTGTGTAAACCGAGTAATTTTCCGCCTTCTTTCGACCCCCCCACCGTAAAGCGGTTTTGCGCTGCAGCTTCGAGAGGCATCCCACGAGGTCGAATATCCCATCACTGGACCCCCGCCGGCTCCGCTTCCAAAAGCCGATCCCGAAGCCACTGTTGCAGGCAGCTCAGTCCGCAGCCTTTTTCTGCAACTCATGTCGAGACTTCGGGGTGCAAGAGGGGATTCCACCACTCCACAGCCTCCCCTGACCTTCTCCAGCACCTGCAGCCGTAGCGCTCCAAGGGCCCTCGTCAGAGGGTTCCGTGGACTGTAGAGCCGACATGGGGGTTTGTACTGCTGAGCGCCTTGAGAATGATGCCGGAAGACGCTTCCAACGTTGCAGCGTGGCACAGGCCTACAGCGTCAAGCGGAGGGGTGCAGCCCACTCTCGCGCCAGCTACATCAGCAGCAGCAGCAGAAAACTCAGGAGTACCTGAGGTAGCTGCAGCAGAGTCGGGGGATTCATCATCATCGGCAGCTGCAGCAGAGTCGGGGGATTCATCATCATCGGCAGCTGCAGCAGAGTCGGGGGTATCGACAGCAGCAGCATCCGAGGCGAGAACGTCCGGAGCAGCTAGACCTTCAGGACGACTCGACGCAGCAGCTGCTCTGTCAACAACAGCATCCGCAGTGGAAACTGCTTATCCACCTCGACCGCCTGCTGACGGCTGCCTCGTGGTGATAGTGGACTTGAACCCCACAATCTGGAGGCATCCTTCCACGCTCAACACATTCCTTGCCAAGACGCAGCCCATACATCCCGACCTCGAGCACCGTCTGCAGCAGCTGCAACACGAGGCCTCTCAGCATCAACAGCACCAACAACAGCAACGCGAGAACGATGAACAACATAACAGCACTGCCGCTCTCGTGCGCTATCTCGAGTTCATCTCCGGTCAGCTAAAGCGTCACCCCTTTGAAACCCCATTGCACGTCTCAGGATTTGCAGCATGTGTATATATATATGTCTATGTATATATATATATATGTCCATGAGTATATATATATATGTGTATGTGTATGTATGCATGTATTCATGTGTATGTATAAATATGTCTATGTGTGTGTATGTATGTGTGTATGTATTCACATGTATGTATACATATGTCTATGTGTATGTATGCATGTATTCATGTGTATGTATAAATATGCCTACGTGTATGTATGCATTCATATGTATGTTTAAAAACGTATATGTGTATGTATGTGCATGCATGTATGTGTGTGGATGTGTATCGATGCATGTACTTGTGTGGATGTGTATGCATGCTCGCCTGTATGTGTGTGTGCGGCCTGTTGTTGTGCACCCCTGCCGCTAGCCCCTGCATGTGCTCCGTTCCTCGTGCTTCTCGACTGGTGTTAACACTGCAGGATCTGTTTCTCGTTTTGCCCGGGCTGCTGCTTTAGTGAGCCCACAAAGTCGGTTGGCTATAGTCGGAATGAATGGAAGCACATCGTAAGTTATCTCCTGCGGCTGCCGGTGTTGAGGCGCTGCACACGACGCTCCGCGCTGCTGCTTCGGGCACAGCTGCGCCATTCTCGCAAAGCACTCGCCGGCTGGTGTTGGTGTTTCTGGCATTGATGTAGCGGCAGCCGCTGAGAAAACAGGCCAGGAAAAAGCCGTCGAAACGTGTATGGGCACGCGTGCGAATGCGGCGCAGAAAGCTTCTTTACGAGGCAGGGCCACCCAATTGGATTCTGGTGCAGTCGGGGGTTGAAAACAGCGGAGTTGATTTGCAGGCAGCTCTTGCTGCCTTTGCGACGTCCTCCGCAGCGGCAGCACGGGGTGCTCCCGCTGCTGCAGATGGCAGCTGCACTCCTGCAGAGTCAGAGGAGGCAGCAGCTGAGACGACGGCTGCAGTTATGGGTGCCGCTGTAGGACAGCAACAGCGCCGCAAGCCGAGGGAGGGCGAGTCGCTGTTGGTGGGGGCCTTGTCGATTGCACTCTGCTGTACGTTTTCTTGTATTTAAAGTGCTGAGCCTTTCAAGGCCCTCCATGGAAACCCAGCCAATGCAGTGCCTCCGTCCATCTCTAGGGGAGGAGGACCGTTCGAGTCTCACTGCATGTAGCGTCGTGTTCACGATCAAACGTTTCAGAATTAGGGTATGGGGTTCATGTGCGCTTCTCAGATATAAATCGATGGCGCGGGGGGGGGCCTGGGGCTGAAAGCCGCATGCTGCTGCTTGACGCTTCGCGGCGTGGCTGCTACGCTGCGCAATTCATACCCCTCCTCAATATTGCTTTCGCTGCATGCAAGCAGGTAAGCTCTAAGGCTTACAGCTCCATAATTCAAGTTTTGGCACCTCAATATAGGGTCGTGGATCTTTATGACATATATGTACATATACCTATTTTCGCATTTCCAGGTGCATGCGTGTATTCATGCGTATATATGTGTGTATACGCATGTGTGTGTGTGTGTGTGTATATGTGTATATGCATGTATGTGTGTGTGTATGTGTATATGTGTGTTTTTGTGTGTATTGATGTGCGCGTGTGTTTATGTGTGCGTGTGTCTGTATGGATTTGCATGTTTGCTTCAGTTTCTATGAATGCATGTGTGTGTGTCTTTGCGGTAGGGCGTTGCAATCGACTGTTGCGCGTTGCTTCCCGATAGTTCGGTACCTCTGCCAGCCCCTACACCCTAACCCCAAATCACGTCCTGCCAACACTAAACTCGCTCAAAAAAATGCCGTGAGGGTGTCTGTTTTATGTTTCAGAGTATCCCGGAGCAGCTCTGCGACGTTGCTCGAGGCCGCTGTTCAAGATTCTCTTGTTGTTTTTCCCAGGGACTGTCGGGACCGGCCAAAGGCCCCAACAGTCTTAGAGGAGATGTAGCGTTGCTTCAGCTGCTTCTTTTCTGGTTCTTGCCGCCCCCATCCTTAAGGCCTGCCATCGCTGCAGTATCGGTTCATCAGAGAACCAACACCGCAGTGTGCTTCTGTCATCATTCTCCCGTCGATCTCTGCTTCATCTGCTCCTGCTGCCTCGCCAGTAAGAGGATGAAAGTCACTAGTTTGAGGGGTGGGGGCACCGAACGTTCACGGCCTAGGGTCAAACCCTCCGGTGGTGTGGGGATATGTGCTGCAGTTTACTGCTCAGAGACCTTGGATAATGGCAAGGACCGGATTTCCTGCGATGTCTGCAAGTCCGTTTTACTCCCTACCTTCCTTATCTAGGGCCTGCGTAATGGTGCAACGAAGCACGCCGTCTATGAGGAATAATGAAAGGCGCACAACTTTAGTGTCGTGTTGTCTGTGCAGATCCCGGTTCGCTAAGGGTTTGCTGAAGACTAAGTTGGCTGCAACCGTTGACGTTTCGAAGTACTAGCATGCCTTCCTGATTGCAGGGATTAGGCATTCCCTGCCCAATATAGGCTAGAAAGGGAAGCTGGGCATCGACAGCTGTCGCTGCCTTCTTATGTCGCTGCATCATGCCGCACCGGGCCACAAGAAGCCCCCAAACGGTTCCACGGGGACTTATAAACAGAGCCCCATGCATTTTTCTCATCGCATTCTTAGCGTTGATGGATCCACGGCCTTCTTATAAGAGTGGTCTAAGCTTTGAATATGATCTACTGCTTTCTTATAAGGGTGCTCTAGCCTTTAAAAGGAGAGGGAAAATTCTAATCTCGTGCAGTAGAAGGGGGGCACGGCGGCAGACGGGTACGCATGTAGTGGGCCTCTGCCTTTTCTTTTAAGGAAGCAAACAAACGACCCTCATACGCAATGCGGAGTGTTTGAACCCTCATTATGTGTCTGACGCTCTACGTCACTTTTCAGCCCCTGCTTACTCACCCAGTGCGTGGAATAATGACAAAAAAACACAACAGACGAGATAATGCTCGGGGACTAGGGTGTGGTAGCAGGACGTTTCTATAGGAATGCAGCGAAAGCTAGCAGCCCTTCCTCATGCGCTGTACTATCAGATGTACTTCTGCCTTTAGCTGGGAAATTTTCAACATCATACTCAGAGATGCAACAAAGGGCACTACAGCATCATGCTGCAGCTAGAGGGGACATACTGGTATTCCGGATATGCCCATTTTTGCAGAGCATCATTAGTCAGGGGCTCAGATCTACTTTGGTGTTTCAGCCCCGATGGAATTGAGAGAGGCCTTGGCCGTGCATGACCTGCAGACGAGGCAGTCGTGTGTATGTGTAGTTGTAGCCACTCTCCACCTGCTTGGAGGATTCATGAGGAATAAACGGTCCGCAGATTATACACTGATCAGAAACATTTGCTTCCAGTTCAGAGGCAATGGCTAGCCAATAATACGGGAGGGTACAAGGACGGAAACACCTGTGGCGGCGGAAGCTGGGAGGCCTTGGGAGCAGCAGCCACACTGGAAGCAGTGCCCCAGTCGTTGTATTACACTGAAGAATCTGTAACGAGGGAACAGCTACTGTTTTCCCCAAGTCCACCAGCTTGGAGCAGATAATTTCTCGTTCTGTGGGGATCTGGTGCCCATCAGCGCCAATGGCCCTATAGCTGCGTGCAGTCCGCACGCCAAAGGCTTCTGTGCCCTACCAGAACGCAAAACGCCTGGCTCACCTTAGGGGTAGTGTTAAAATGTGTTCAGACAGCTTGTGTATCGGGTGTGGGGGAACTGTGGTGTTTGTGATTTAATACCCCTGGTGTGCCAGTGTCTAATGTGTAGACAGTACCTTTCTCCATTGCTTTTATGAGCTAAAAAGAACGCAGTAACCTTTTTGCATCAGTAGTCATTGAATTTGCAATAAAAAAGACCATTAACAGGATTATGGACCGGGGGGGGCCCCAGAGGTCCCCGAAACCGTCTGTGTAGGCACGCCTGCACACCTGAATGCGGCAACTGCGGCAACCTCTGCGGGGAAGCAGCACAGGAATAAGAAAGCAGAGGTGAATTAAGGGAGGCAGTAAACCAATGGATCAGTGGAAAGAAAGGATGCAGGGTGCAACCGAAGCAGCAATCAGCAGCTGCCAGTACGCCTGGACCATACCGCTGACTTACCGATAGCGTCCCCTCTTTTTCGCTCAAACTGCGCCTCCAAATATAGAACCTAGTATTTTTGTCTCCGGTATTGCTAGAATCTCTGGGTTGAGTGTTGGGTGCCTCACACACAATCCCCAAACCCACTTCGACCCGGGGTCAGGGCGGCTGCGGAGGCGCTGTGGTTCTTTCTCCCTCCGCAAGCCAACCTGTAAGTTCTTGCTGCTATGCAAAGGACAAGAGGTTCGATACACCCAGAACCTCGAAAACTCAATGCCAGGGAGGCTTTATCCGTGTAGCGCGATCCCGAAAACCTACACCCTTGGCTCAGATGTCTAAGGGGGGGGACGCTGTAGATGAAGTGTTTTTCGAGCAGAGGGCAGCTGGACTGAGGCGGCGCTGGACTGGAAAGGAGCCCCTCAGTGTGTCTCCTCTGTGCGCTGCCTCACTGCCTCTTGCTGTCCCTTCCTCCTCTTTTGATTTCTCCGAACCTTCAACCCCTCAGACTATGGCTCGCCTGCAAACAGACCCGAAAACCAGCAGCCATGCCACCACGCCAACCTGCGTTGCCAGCGTGACAGAAGACTTCACACCCGCTGTCAGTCCTCAAGAGGGAGAAGTAGAATGCAGTGCGCGGACGAAAAAAGAAGGCTTAGAGGGGGCGCTCAAGCGAGGCCCCCCGACTTGGTTACTTGGCGGTGGGGGAAAATTCAGGGAAATTAAGTCCGCAGAATTTGCAGCTGAATGTAGCCACGACGGCAGCAGCAGAACCACCAGTGGAGTCGACCCCATATTCAACCGTGACGGCGTGACAGTCAGGCGACCCGCAAAACTTGGCATAAGCTCGGGAGATCCCGTAGCCGTCCATATTTCAAAAACAAAGACCTTCAATTTCAGTGAGTGCTCGGTATTTCTTTCATCCTCTTTTAAAGGCTTCTCGCCCCTCCTCTGCTCCATACAGAGCGGCATACAAACAGTCTACAAGTAACGAACTCACGAGCAGGCTAGCTCCAAATGAGGGATGCGCGTTCATGCCCTGTGCATGCGGTGTTGCAGGCGCTCGCTTGGCTCCCCGACCTTCCCGCCTTAATCTGTCGATACACCGCAGAACAAATCAGACGGCCTCATGGGGCTCCTTTGGGGGCTCCTTGAGAGCTTCTGAATCCATGCGGCGAGGGCCTTTTGCAACGAAGGAGAGCGACAGTCTGCCCAAGATCGTGCAGTTTTCGCCCTCCCTCAAGAGAGTTCTTTCGAAAGAGTTGGGGGGCTTAGGTGGGAGAGATGAGACAGGAGCTCTGGGGGGGGGCGAGTCAGATGCAGAGGCTGGGCAAGGGAGGCAGCAGCTAGACACAGAAAGAGAACGGCAGAAGCTTGCACGCAATCCCGCAGACGTGGAGGCTTGCTATCAATTGGGAGTCTTACTCTTCAGGCAAGGGCAAACGAAAGAGGCAGTGGCAGCCGTCTTGGACTTTATTGAGAGAAACAGGGAAACAAACGCTACGTCGACGTCGAGTGAAACCAGGAGCCCTACGAAGGGCAAGACGCGCACTTGCGAGGGTTCAACGGGCGAGCAGAGGGGCACCTGCAAGGAGCGTCTGCAGGAGGAGCCGTGTGTGGAAGAGCGAGACGCTGCAGTGGGGGCAGCAGCCGCCTCAACGGGGTCAGACAAAAGGAAAGCTGATGAAGGGTCCCCCTCAGAGGCGTCTCCTGTCGCCGTCCTGTCAGCAGACACAGCCGTGCCAAGGCCAGCTTCCCCTGCCGCCGAGACTGCGGAGAAGAGCGGTGTGTCGATTGGTGGGGCAGACACCCCGTCGAAGCAAGCGCACTCCTCCGACAAGGATGCGGTTCTAGCCGACGTTTCTGAGAAGGCCGTTGTTTCTCCTCGGGGGGAAGGACCGCTCAAGTCTAGCCCAGCAAATTCCGACGCCTCCTGTGAGATTCCTGTGCCTGTGCGTGAGGATAGCCTTCTCAAGGCAGAACCAAGGGGCTCGAGGAGTCTCTCCGGGGGGGCGTCAGTCTGCAGTCTTAGCAAATTGGCTGGCGTTGTATTCGGCCGACGAGGCCACATGGCTCGCCGCGCTGAGGATCTGAGGGAAGGATGGGGTGCTCCACGCTTTGTATCGCTGGAGAAGCTTCTAGGTCACTTGGCATTCGAGGATGAACGCTTTGAAGATGCCATCAGGAGATACTGGAGGTAACCCCATAGGGCAAGCATTAGGGGGCTTCGCTTTGCGTGAGGCCTAACTTGCGGAGTTGGGAGTGAGGGGGGAAGCCTTTTGGGTGCACCTGCTGCACTGTTGGCGAGACGTGCAGAGGTTTTTCTACGCTCATTCTACGCTGCGCCTCCTTTTACGTTTTTTCGCTCTAGAGCCATCGATTTGCATCCCGGAGATGCGCAGATGTTCACCTCTCTGGGATTAGCGTACTACGAGGTAAGTCGGCTCTTTGTCCTCAATGACGTTTGAGCAGACTGTATCTACTCGAACATTGCTCTGTAAAGGCTTCAATGCGCTTGGGGGCACTCCTGTCGGGAGTCGGGCTCACGTTCGCGCTTGCTACCTATCTACGTGCAGCTGGAGGAGCTCGAGAACGCCGAGGCAGCGTTTGAACATTCTTTGAAGTTAGACGAAAAGTGCGACACGGCGTGTGGGGGAAAAACAGGGCGCAGATTTAGTGTCCTTTAGGATTCGCTTGTATATATATATATGTATATATATATATGTATGTATGTGTATTGCATGCATGCGCGACACCCAAGTGTGCTTTAAATTCTCAAGCGTCCTGCCCGAGAAGGTGAACCCTCTTTTTAACCTTCTTAGAGTTGTCTACATGTGTCTCAGAAACACCACTGCGCTGAGCGTGCTGGCGATGATGCTGCTGGATCGAGTATCCGCAGAGGAAGAGAACGCTTCTTTTGAATCTCCTGATGAACCTCCAGGCTGTCAGCACCTTCCTCCCTATGCCTGTCTGGCTGCCTGCGCTGCTGCCGACTAGAGTTTAACCCCCTCCTCTTTATGCTCCCACGCCAGAGTTTTGCCAGTCCTCTTCATCTGAGGTGAAGGGGCCAGGCGAAGTGTCTGACTCTTCCTCCTCCCTCACTCTCTGTGCTTTGCGGCTTTCAAACTGTCGGATTGCTCGCCCTCTTCGCTGTCTCTGATTAGTGTACCTTCGCGCAACTGCGATTCAGCAACTTCCCTGATCGTTGTTTTGCTGCCCCTACCAGACTCTTCCCTGGCTGCGCCCCCCTTCCCCCCCGCCTTCGCGCCTCCCCTCTCGCTGTTTGCATCATCCTCCCTCTCAGCTCCCCGCCTTCTGGTCCTCATTTTTGTGACCAACAGTCGCACAGATTCTGCAAGCCTCTTGTGCTTCTTTGAACGGCCATCCTTTTCTGCTCTGATGCGAATCTAAGGCGTAGCTGCCGAGAGGGATGCCACAGAAGACAAAGAGGCCACCAGGGAGGAGGAAAGGGTGCAGCGAATTCGACTGAAGACCGAGCGCTGTGTCGAACTGCTGAGGCGCTGTCTTCGCGTGGATGCTGAGAACATCCTTGCCAAGCTGCATCTTGCACAGGTACAGCACTTTGCGGCAGCCCTCTCTCGATCAGTTTCTTAGGAGGAGGAGGACTCTTCTTCTATACTCCTACCACGTTACCGTCTGACAGTTTTGGGGGTGCTCCTACGCCTCATCAATGGCATCCTGCATTCCAGGCTTTCTTCTCCCAGTCGCCATGACACGGAGGTGTAGAATACTGGCGCCTACCGAGGCGTAGAGGGCAATGGGCTGGGAACCGCAGATTGTGTCGGACGGCACGAGGGTGTAGAGAGAAGCTCATAGGGAGGCGATGCGTTAGAGACGGAGGGGCATACAGAGACGGGCAGCCAGATTTGGACTGCCGAGCGGATACATGGAATCAGGCAGACAGATCGCTAGAGACGGATAGCGACAAATGAAGGACTCTGGCACGCAGGCAACCATAAAATAGAGATTTAGGAAGAAATCATTCTACGCTTCTTCCCTACTCAAGCATCCACGCTTTAGCCTACTTTGTAAAAAGGGGTCCTTGTGGCATGGTCTCCTCTCCGCATGCGTTTCCTTGCCACCCTATGGGTGTGCCTGTGTCATCATCTTCTTCCTCTGCTGCTTCCCACTTTCTTCCCCTCAGGTGTTCTTCTACCGAGAGGAGTGGGAGGAGAGCGCAGCAATCTTTAAAGCATTACTGGTAGATATGCCGGAGGACACACATCTCCTCAACAATCTTGGTGCGCGACATCCGCCTCTAGACGGCTTCGAGAGAGAGCTTCTCCCCATAAAGCATGTACATACACGTGTGCATATTTATATTTTCATAGTGCAGGCTACGCACTTCTAGGGCTGTGTGTTTGTTGGCTGTCCTCCTGCTGCTCTTGCTCCTGCTGTCGCCACTTCCTGGTGGACTTATGTATTCGGCATCTCGCCTCAGGCTCTGTCGTTCGTTTGCACATATACGTAGAACTCTTTGCCTCTTTTTATCAACTACCAGCCACAACTTTTTTCTCCACATTTTCCGCACTGTACTTCTGAAAGTCTCTCCCACCTGAGATCCTTGCGGCATTTTGCTCAGATGTTGTGCAGTACATTCGCCCCCCACTTTGTCACTTCTATACGACATCACCATCTCGTATAATTTCTATGCCGCTTCCCTCTACATCTGCTCCCCGTCTCCCACCCCCCTCAATTCTCGATAGTTTGATCTGTTTCTACTGCCCCTCTCTTGCGCTTTCTGCAGGTCAGGTGGCCTTCCATCAGGACGACTTGCCAGGGGCCATCCAGTTGCACCTAAGCGTTCTAAAAATCAATCCCCAAGATGAGCTTGCACACCTTCATTTATCAGAAGCGTACTGCCACCAGCGCAACTATGAGGCAAGTTCTCACTCCCCTTTACGCGTTATGCTTTACATAAAAACCTTGTGCTGTAGCGCATCCTCTGTATATGTCTGTATATATATAATGTATATATGTATATATAATGTATATATGTATATATAATGTATATATGTATATACACATCCCCGTATCCATCTTTAGCAGCCTCTACATCACCTTTAAAGCCTCTCTCTCTCTCTCTCTGCATTGCGTCTTGAGTGTTTTCTCCATGTGTGTATGCGTACGTGTGCTTCCTCGCCTCTTTCCATCTTGATCCGCCTCCTCCGTGCGATGTGACCTCAGCTGTTAGAACCTGGCCCTTGTGCATGTATGCCGCGTTTGTTTTCTCTGGCCTTCCTCGTTTTTTCGCGTGCAGGCAGCCCTAGACCACTTTGTGCGGTGCTGCGCTGCTTCCCCCGATTCGGTTGCCTTGCATGCGACATGCGGGCTGCCGCTGTGCGAGAACGGCCAGGAACAAAAGGTGATCGATGCCTACACGGCCTTCATCAAGCAACACCCTAACTCGCTTGCAGCGAAGGCTTTCAAACGCACTCTTGGTAGGCGGACAGCGTATGTATATGCCCAGGCGCGCATGCCTACAGCCACAAACACCGCAACTCTACAGGGTGAACGTACAGTGTAGAAAGGCACAAAGAATGTCGTGACTAGCGGCATCCCGAGGCTCCTGTGCGCCTTATGAGACTGTTTAGATGCACTTGCAGGAATGCTTGTTTTCGCTGTTCTGTGAGAACTTGCACTGCTGCATCGCCCCCTGTGCGTACACAGCGTACCTGAACTCGCCAGGGCTTCATTCATGCAGCGTCTGTGCATTTTTTATTCATGTTTTGTGCATGCACATACATATATGTCTTTCCACCCGATATCGGGCTGTTTTTCGTGGAATTCGGCCGATTTCTTTTGGAGTTTGTGCGGATTTCCAGACAATCTCCCCGTCTCTGCCCCTCTGCCTGCGCGCTAGCTCCTCAGTTGCCTGACTGTTTGGTGCGTTTGGCTGTAGGAGCGCTGGACGAAGAGATAGGTTTCGTGGAATCCATATCTATCGTCTCCTACATTGTTGTGGTAAGCTGTTAACCCACCGCTTTCTCCTGTTCGACGCTAAACCCTTGACTCCCCCCCCCCCCGCCCAGACGCCACGCATCGACCCGTAAACCCTACACTCTGCATGCAAAGGTCGAATCCGTGCACGCTGCTGCTTCTTTTAAAGGGTGTGGTGCTGGGGGTTCCCGCAGCCCGTCCTCGTCGTCGTGGCGCTCGTCTTCCTTTTCCTTTATCACCCCATTTGGACCAGCGTCGATGGAGAGGGAGGCCCTCTCGAGGGGCCTCTCCACGGGAGCTTTACCGCGAGGGACCTTCACCCTAGGACCCCCAACGCTGCAGGGGAAGGCCACTATGGCGAATTTTAAAGGCGCGACTTAGCGTGCTCGCATCACATCCTGACACCCGAACATTCTTGGGCTGATTGCTAGCGCACTGAAATTCTCAATCCTCGACTGTCCTTTGACCTGGGCCTCTCAGGAAAGAAGCAGCCACCAGTGGTGTGTGCCAGGCATCAAACCTAAGACACCCTGAAGCCGGAGCTCTTTACGGCTTTGAGCGCTCAAACGAAGTCCAGCTAGGGGCCTCCCTTAGTGCGGATACGCTCATCCCTCCTTATTCCTACCTACCTTCGCTGTCTACACACGTTCATGCCCTTATGTACGTCGATGTGAACATGCACCTTTCAAGGCCTCGTTCTACGGTCTCGTTACCCTTAGGAAGTTTACTTCTAAAAAAATTTAAAGGATAATTCCGACGCGGCTAGTTACGGCAATAAAGGCCTAGAAGAGCCCCGCGGACTAGTCATAATCAAATGCATACACAGGGTTTGAAGTCTCTCTCGCCATATCCATCACTTCTGTGCAGGTATATGTATATATGTATATGCCAGAGAGCGCCGCCGCTGGGTTGATAAATAAAAGAGCCCTATAGACTAATCATAGTCAAATGTACACACACGTAGAAGTCTGTCTCGCCACATCCACTACATATGTGCAATCAGATATGCCAGAGAGCGCCACTGGGGTAATAGACAGGCACTTGTCACGCAAACATTTGCTCGGCTTGAGGAAAACTCTATGTACATACTTGAAGACGAAGGTTTAAAGTACTCCTCGAGCCTGCATCTCGCGTTTCTTCTCAGAGTACTGCTCTAACCTGTGGCACCCACACAGAGAACCGTCCGTCTACGAACACCTCTCCAAAAGGCGTAATTCACCCTTCCACTCACAAAAAGGTCCCAGCTTGTGTTGGCGATATGCCGCGGCTTTGCGACGGCTCGAAATTCCCAGCTGCGAGGACTGCATACCCTTGCCCTTGTGTGGAGAGAGCCGTGCTTGCACGCGTATAATTCTGAAATGCGGCTCTCCTGTGCAACAGCTATGCCCCCGCCATCGTAAACGACAGATGAAGGCCATAAAAACGCTTGCAGAGAGAGAGAGACAGAGAGAAAGAGAGAGAGAGAGAAATGGACGAAAGCAGGCTCAGCGTCCTGCTGCATACCCACCGTGTCTTTGCGTAGTGAAGGTATGAAAAGAGTTCCGGATCCTCCGGAATCTTTGTCCTGAAAATCCGCAAAGCGTCGTTTGAGATTTAGAATAAATCCTTCTTGAAGGTTTTCGCGAAAACACGGTGTAGACGATAGCTCAGAATTTGGAGGTAGCTTACCGTACAACTGACCAGAAGGCCCACACTAGGTGCGATGCAAGCATCATGTAGTCAACCTTGAAGGCAGCATAATCACACTTTGCATCAGACCCTAAACCCGCGAGTTTTAATCCCTGCATGGCCTCTTCTTGCACGCGTACCCATACTAGCCTCCAGAGCCTAAGATTCATGCATGCGGTGCACGGGCATCAAAAATACGTTGAATGATCAGGAAAAGACAACACGATACGCTTCGGCTTGAGGGTTTATATCACTTTGCGCACAACGTTAACAAATCTATCGACGGTTTCCTTGGTGGCAAGACGTTCTGGGGGAAGATTTAAACCCCGTCGCTCAATCGTGTCCTTCAGGTACACCTCGACAAGATGCCGTCTCAAAGTCGAAGAGGGCATTTGATTCGGCAAGACAGAATAAAAGGGCCATTCTGGGGAAGACATTGCAAAATGCAAAGACAGAGGCCAGGGAGGGAACATGATGTGCGGCATGCAGTGCGTTCAATTAGGCAAACGCGCTGTCCAAGCAAGCAGCTCTCGAAACGAGAAAGAAGCGTGAGGGTGCAGCTAGGTACACCTGCACAGCGAAATAGCGATCGCGTGCGAAATTTCAGGCGCAGAGAAGCACCGAGAAACACAGCCGATGCAAAGACGTCTGTGGAGGCTTGAGCCCGATTAAAAAAGAGCAGAGGCTTCTAAGCACCAGTATTAAGTGTATAGTCCAGCGTGGCTTCGCAAAAGAGGTTGGCAATATCGAAGGCCCTCGCGTTCACGCCGCTGTACTCGAAATCTATAAGACGAAGACCTTCGCCGTGTGTCTAAACAAACAGGAAACCGACGCTGTTTTTTTAGAAAAACTTTGCTTGCTGCGTGTGGGTTCTGTCACAAACCATGCATAGTCTTGCTTGCAGTTTCACTGATTTTTGCTGCAGTGATGTTTGGTCGTTAACTTGCATGCGCACGCCTGCCCTGCCTTGCAGGAAAGCACCTGGGCGACAAAAATCAACCAGTGTGTGGCACTGCCAAAGAGGAGGCCAGAAGCGAAAGCGGATTTGCCGGGTGTATGTACATACATATATATGTATGTATGTAGACATATGTATATGTATCTCACGTGCAGAATGTTGTTTTCTTGAAAGTCGTTGTGGCTCAGGACAGCATGCATTCCAGAGAGCCAAAGAAGCCCATCCCCTTGTTCATCTTCTTCTGAAGGCCTCTTTAAGACCCCCTCCTGCCGCAGTTGTGCCTCTAGGGCTTGAAAGTAGGCTGCATCATCCTGAGCGAGAGCCTTCAGCTTATCAGCTAGCCACTTGGCCTCCTCCAAGTAGAAGCTCAGGTTCAGCGATTTCATCTTCGCTGCCGTAGAACGCATGCGAGCTTCCTGAATGCCTTGCTGGTAATCTTCCGAAGTCGCCGTATCCTCAGACCCCGCAACCGCATGCAGAGGGAAGTCTGCAGCCCCGTCAGAAAGTGGGGTTTGCTCCATCAGTACCTCATTTACAGCCTCACGAGCCATGCTTCCCCAAAGCTCTAGGCGGCAGCAGCAGCAGCTGCAGTATTCTACAGAGGGGTCCTCAGCCGCCTCAGCGCTGTTGCTGGAGGACTCCCCCAACAGACAGCTGGCCTTCGGAAGAAACGATGGCAAGGGCACACTGTGAAATGCAGCTATCTGCACGTACGATACGAACACACACACACACACATAAATATATATATGCATATATATACCCATATACATACATATACATATATATACATATATACATATACATATGCATACCAAAAAACGTGAAACCTCCAGAGCGCCAGCCCGCAAGAATGCAGAAACGAATGTCACCTGATCTGCCGATATGAAGGCACCCCATGAGGATCGCTGCCAAAAATTTTACACGCGGCCTCCCCAGAACCTGCACCTCACCGTAGTCATAGCGCGTTCTAAAATCCTCTTGTCGGTCAGATCTGCCGTTGACAAGACAGGACTTTCCCAATACTCCTCAATGCGTCCTCCCTGCATGCACTACAGTGGCACAGAAAGCTGCAAATCAAAGCCCCAAAGAGCGGACCCAAAGCCCTAGTCTCGCTAACCTCGACACCTTCAAGCCTACAGACTAAACCGCCTTCGTCTTGGCGCATGAACGAGACTGACTTCAAACTCCGCCAGACATCTGGGGGCAAGGCCCAAGGATCCGAGTGTCTTGAACAGTATGCGCTCCACCCTAGCGCTGAAGAGGGCAGTTCCTTGCTGGTGTCCAAACACCCGAATCAAGGCCTTCGTCACTGCTGGGGCGATATCTTCCCCAGGCAACCCCGCAGACACGTCTCGAGCCTCTTCGGCCGTATCAAGGGAAACGAGGTACAGTTGATTGCTGAGGCCCCCCGAGATCTTGCTGACTTGAACTGCTGTGTCTTGATACACCTGCCACCCTCCTAGGCCGGCCTTAGCGATAGCCCTCAGGAGCATCTCTTTCCGCAGCAAGCGGTAACGGAGTATCTGATCCTCCTCATTCTGCTGGCGTAGTTGCTGTATGCGCTGCAGCCCCGACTCAGAAGGAGAAGAGCGGAAATAATTCCGCAGAGCCCGGGGAAGACTCCAAAGGCTAAAGGTGGTTGACGGTAACGTTGTCGCATCAGAGCTTGCGGAAGCGATCCGAGGCCTTGGTTGGTTGCCGAGTGCTTCTCTGAGGGCCGTTTGATGATTTAAAACGCACACCAAGGTGCAACGAGCATCCGTGGCGTTCACATCAGGGTCAGCACTGCTCAGGGGGCTGGACTCCTCCTGGTAATCCAGGGGCCTGACGTGAAAGCAAATGCGGTTCTCGTAGCTGGATGATCCAACAGCGCTTGTTGAATCCTCCGCGTCGCACTGGGCACCCGGGTACGTAGCCACAAACATGGACAAGCTCGTTTCTGACACAGAAGGGAGTCCACCACGGGTCTTAGATGCATTGACGACCCCGTGGTGGTCCATTCCTAACAAACATGTGAAAACAAGGGTAAATAGCTTTCCTTTGCTAAGCAGGAAGTTTGAAAGAATAATAAGTGGATTCATCATTAGCAGCACGTTTGCTCGGGGCCGGCGAGGTGACATGGCGGTGTGTCGTGTTACTCCGACTTTGGTGAGCAAACTCGACAAAAAAGCCAGTTATGTAGGGCAAAAGTCACTACTGAAATATATTTGCGTCACAGCAATGTACATCAAGTTTCACTCCGTTTCAGATGCGCCTTATCGTACCAGCAGAACTGCATTTAGGCGACAAATCTGCACCGGTAACTGCTGGTGCTTCCGGCGGCTGTTAATTTATGAATTATGCCCAGTAGTTGTCATGTTTAAAGGTGCACGAATGAGATAGGCTATGGGGAGGCTGCGGGGGTGACCAGGCTCAAAGAATACTGGTCATATGAAGAGGGAATGCAAGGGGACAGAAATGAACGCCAACGTTCAAACACAAGTGCAAAAACAAGCGCAGGTAGCCTACTATTCTAAAATTAGCATACGTTGGGGTATCTGCGGGAGCATCTTGTCGATTGTTTCGCAGTGTTAGCCCCAAGGGTCTCCTCAGCGCAGCTATTTATTGGGGGAACGTCCAGGGAGCTTGCGCGTGGAGAGTGATTCATGAAGACAACATACGGCAAAACAGGCGTCGCAAATCCAAAAACTATGTCTGCGCGCTTTCTGATTTTAGACGCATATTTGTACAGATTACAAATCGCGCCGCTGCGGGCACGGGCACGACTTCGAAGGTATCTTCACTGCCCACCCTCGTTGGGGCTCTACGTCATGAAACATTTGCTAAATTCACTGTATGTGACCCGAGAGTGATGCATGTATCGAGCTGTAGGCATGGAAAGAGCCGAAATTATCTAGCACAACACCGAAGTCTCATCATTGCCAGGAGGCTGAGCATTTCCCAATGGAAACCACAGGTGCAGCGCCAAACTACGCATGTTCCTATTCTCTGCTTATCAGACAGTCAGAAGAGCTCTTGTTCGCTGCCCACAACCCATAGGTTTCGGCAAGACAGAAGAGGAGCAGCTAGCATATGTGGAGCTCCACTAAATGTCTCTGCAGGAAGATGCCTAACTTCGAGCAGAAAGCTTTTAAGTGTTTCTCAAAATAGTTCTTTCACTTCCTGGCCCAGTGAACTCGCCTTTCTCCCTCCAGAATTCCCATATGAGGAGAATGAGACAGATATGATGCGTCGAGCTGCATCCTCAACGCACCTTTAGCATTCGCAGCTAGTTTCACGCACGCACGCACACACACACATACACCTATAGCGTCATCTTTTATCGATTCGCAGTCCTTATTTGATACATTTCAGATAAATATTACCAGTGTAGTAGAAAGGGAGTGAAGTAGCAAAGCCCGAGTCAATGCACGTTGCCGCAGGCTATCTGCACTCTGAACAAGCACACCTGGTACGACGCAGTGAATTACCACAAGGGAACAAAATATGTAGCCACTCCTAAGAATACACGGACAAATTAACTAGAAAGGCAATGCCTTCAAAATTCCTAAAGAATAATTCCCGCGGTTTCAACTTCTCTTCCGACTTTGTTTTACGTAAGTGATATTTAACGAAGTATTTGTGAAAAAATTGCCTATTTGGTTCGCCTGTTCATTTAGCTTTTTTCCTGCAGCGTAACATTAGGTCAATGCAAGATGGCACAATCTTATATGCGCGTAGCATAGATGCTCTGCTTAACTAGCTGTGAGTTCTAAGAGTGCGTAGAGAGTGCAGCTAGGCCCACCATCGGCGTCTCTATCCCATCATGAATAAACACTGAGTGACGAAGGCAGAGAGAAGGGGACACTTCTTAAAGGAAACACTCAACAACTTTCCATCACCCATCGTATTGAGACTCGAGTAAAGTACCTCACTACAGAGGCCTCATGTCGAGCTATTTGCTTGACAAAAATCGATACTAGCAGTGATTCAGTGCTTCAAGGAAACCACAAACTTCATGCAAAGCAATACACACACACACACACACACACACGCACACCGACCATCGAAGTTTATGTCGGTATGCACCGTTGCATGCAATCCAAGTTAGGGCTTCGGGATATCAGCTTCCTACTTGGCTCAGCGGACCGCAGTGCCGCTTCACTCACAAAAAGATAGCTAGGAGTAAGGCTTTTGTTATTTGCTTATTTTCAAACCCTGCTCTCAGTTAAGCTCAGTCTCCTTCTTAAGCTTAACCATGTGGGAATAGCAGACATTTATCTCAATTTTGGAATAACACCCATCCTTACATTCTCTCTAGTCATGCCGAATCCTTATCAGCTGCTGAGCTGAGGAGCGAAGCATCAGCACTAGCCTTCTTCCAGAGCTTGGAGGCCCAGATAGACTTTGGGCTTGCAGGTGTCGTAGCACTTTGGGTGTTAGTGCTTGTAGCATGCCGGCAACTGCGAGGAAAGCAGCTGGAGGCGAAATTGTATGCTAATGTTAATCCCTGTCTTAATCATGCCCGGTAAATCATGAAGCTGTTTCGGTTGCAGGAAAAACGGAATTGATGCAAACAATGCTTCAATTGCTCCAACCGTGTAAAGCTCCCTTAGAGGCTACAGATATGTTCTAGCTAGCTCAATAGGGTCTAAGTGCATCCTGTTTGACCAAGAGCCAAGCCCGCAAAGCTCCGTGCAAAGCTTTCATAGGGACACCTATGCCTACACTCAGTAACTTTCTTTTAGGCTTGAATCAAGATTTTCTCAAAACAGCTCCCTAATTTGTCCCTGCCCGCGGTCCTCAGCATTCCAACGTGAGGGAAAAGAGGAGTGCACCCACCTGCACCTGATTCCACATGGCACATAGCGCACCCGCAAGCAGCACTGCGACTTGTTGTATCAAGCTAGCAGGATTCTGCAATATCCAAGATACATGCACACGCAAGACCCATTCTGCACTTCGTAACTAAGGCTTCTAGATGTGAGTATTGTACTACAAAGTGGTAAAGAAGAGCTTAGCTGGCTACGACTTCCCACTAAAACTAAAAAGCGGCGCATCTAGGTTCCATTCTTGGCCGTGAAGGCCAAGTGCGCGCAGGAAGGCGAAACAGTTTTCGCCGTGTCGCAACCTTCCTGGCAACAGAAGTGGGACACGTGGTGCTGATGAGGAGGACAAAGTGAGCAGGAGCCGCTTAAAACGTGGAAGCGAAGAAAGATGCACAGACTAGCCAACAACGAACAAGGCACCACGCCACCCAGGCAGCGGTGGCATGATCGATCAATGCTATCACAGGCGTGAAATCAGTGAGTCTCCTGCTGGGGAGAAAAAAAAAGAAGCCGAGTAAAGTGTGCGAAGAGAATCAAAATTTATACTAGCTCACCACTGCCGCCGTGCCTCAGAGCAATCTTTGCACGCAAATACAGCCAGCGCATGCAGCTTGTGCTTAAATAGGACCAAAACGGAGCATGGGGAAGTATATGGGGACAGCAAATATAAGACTGTGTGCGCATTAATCGAAGTGCAGAAAAAGGCATGCCTACAGTAAGTGGAGACTTTCCGTGCTACATCCATTGATGAAGGTATATTTAGCCATATCAAACGTCGGCGAATGACAATAGTCAACGAACGCACAGTGTACCGTTCGTGGCAACAAGCTGTAAACCTAAAACGTTGCATATAAGCTACGGACAACAAAGGTTGTAGGTGGTCATCCGGCAGCCACTGATATTGGCGTTCCCTACCTCACTGTACTAGAAAACCCCATCTAGTATTTGTTTGGCACCCAGCCGTCGTAGAAGGCATGATCTTAATAATCTCTTGTAGATTCTTCGTCTTCATCCGGGTATTGCCTGCTCGGCGATGTCTAGGAATTATTCACGAAGCCCTTATATTTTCTTTAAACGAACGTTGATAGTTGTATGAATCTCCAGGTTCTAGGGAAGTCCAGAGAGTAAGAAAGAATATTGATACATGAGAGTCGCAAATGCTCGTAGCCACCTGAAGGCAGCTATTTTAGGCTGGTCACCCTGTATTGCACCCAGTAAAGCACGCCGATCCGCCGGAGTCAAGTACCCATACCCGTAACACAGAGGCCACGGCCGCTTCTCATGATTCTGTGCTTGTCTTTTTCCAGTTACATGAAGAAAAATGTGTTTACTAGCCACTTGCTGTCTAAATCCTTCCCCTGTCAAAGGCCACTACTGACCCCAGACCACCAGAAGTAGGCCCAGATTCGGTGAGAGCTCCTTTGTGTAAACCGGGTATGCGAAGAAGTAGCAGGACAGGTTTGCTTTCGTACTATAAACCCACTTGATGCAAGGAAGACAGACAAGCCAAGCGATTGAACTTGTGTGATCACAGAGTCGGGCAGAAGAAAGAATTCGGTGTGTCCTGTCTGTCCATCTTCCTCAGAATGATTTACACTTGTCATATTGTGATCAATGTGCAGACAGTCACAAAGGCACTCCAAAACGCAGCATCAAACGTGTGCTCCCGATCTACGAAAATATTTTGGGAAATCTGTGGGGCTTCCAGACACGAGTTAAAAAGTAGTCTTGTTATTCCCCGATTTGTGCCAGATATGGAGCAAAAGGTGAAATGGGCGTATTTGCAGAATCTACCGAGAACAACGTGTATGCTATGCGCATCGTTGCCCTCGAGCAGCCCAGCATCAAAGTCCATAATCAGATAAGTTCAGATCCTTTGAGGAGCCGGAAGGCTCTGTACAGCATTGGGTTCAGCAGAAATGTGCAGCTTTAGTTGCTGAAACTCTGGGCATGGCAAGTGATACTATTCTGCCGCTGGACGCACCCAAGAACACTGGGGGCAACGTGAGAGCTTCACAACAGAGGTGTCAATCGCAACTCGGCCCGAAATTCTAATATGATTTGCAGTTATACCTACCAACTCGTTACTAGCCTCAATTGTCAGGAGGAAAGAACTCTCATAATCCTACAGCGAAAGTATGGTAGGAGCTGGACGACTTCTGAGAAACGTCCTTGCAGCGGCATCACCCTCT